GCAGTGGTGGAAGTTGTGAGGGCGATCGGCGTGCGCCCCAAGTACATTCTTGCTAAGGTTCCATGGGATGAAGTGCGGTGGAATGGGGTATGGTGGGTCGGAGTACGGTGGGACGGAGTACGGTGGGATGGGATGGGGTACGGTGGAATGGGGCGAGGTGGGTTGGGGCGACACTAACAGGTTCAGATAAAGGGGCATTGGGATGTATGGGTGTGGATTTTTGTGGAGAGGACGTCTGCAGCATGGCATAGCACGTCATGGCATGGCATGTCATGGCACGGGATGGCATGGCATTGCATGGCATAGCATTGCATGCCAGGGATGCATGTGCCGGAACCCTTTTCCCTTTCACACCCATCAGGGCGGCATCACATCATCGGACGTGGCAACCAAGGCGCTGGGAGTGGGGAGGGCGAGGGTGGAGGGGCAGGCCATGGCAGGCGTGCCGCTGTGGCGCCTCGATGATGCCTCCAGGTTCCCAGACCTGCCCTACATCGTTTTCCCAGGTACTTTCTGGTTCTTGAATGTCCACCTTTTTTTTTTTTTTTTTTGTCTCCTTCATGGTCTGTGCTTGATGGGATCAGTGTGTCCCGTGCCAACTGCCCACCTCTCGTCACTCTTCTCGCTCACCCTTGCACCCTCCTCCCATCCGTCCACCCCGCTTCTTGAGACGTCTCAAAAACCCTCCTCCCATCCGTCCACCCCGCTTCTTGAGACGTCTCAAAAACCCTCCTCCCATCCGTCCACCCCGCTTCTTGAGACGTCTCAAAAACCCTCCTCCCATCCGTCCACCCCGCTTCTTGAGACGTCTCAAAAACCCTCCTCCCATCCGTCCACCCCGCTTCTTGAGACGTCTCAAAAACCCTCCTCCCATCCGTCCACCCCGCTTCTTGAGACGTCTCAAAAACCCTCCTCCCATCCGTCCACCCCGCTTCTTGAGACGTCTCAAAAACCCTCCTCCCATCCGTCCACCCCGCTTCTTGAGACGTCTCAAAAACCCTCCTCCCATCCGTCCACCCCGCTTCTTGAGACGTCTCAAAACCCTCCTCCCATCCGTACACCCCGCTTCCCACCCACCAGGCAACGTGGGTTCCTCCTCATCTCTTGCACACGTCATGCAGCGCTGGCACTCCCAGCCCATCACCCCCTCCTTCTCTTGCGCTGGCACTCCCAGCCCATCACCCCCTCCTTCTCTTGCTCTCATCCACCTTCCTTTAATCCTCCGTTCCATCCACCCATTTCCCTCCACCACCCACCAGGCAATGTCGGATCATCCTCATCCCTCGCTGACGTCGTGCAGCGCTGGCGCCAGCCCATCACCCCGCCGCTGCTGACCACGTTAGACCTAGTGCGCGCAGCAGCAGAGGGCGGGTATGCAGTGGGGGCATTTAATGTGTATAACCTCGAGGGGGTGCGGGCTGTGGTGCGGGGCGCAGAGGAGGAGAGAAGCCCAGCTATCATTCAGGTATGCAATATGCGACATTGTGGTGGGAGAGGGTGAATGCAGTGGTGCGGGGAGCCGAGGAGGGGAGCCAGTCTTGCCAGGGAGCAGGGTGGCTGAGGTAGTGAGAAGTCATTATGACAGCAGGGTGGCTGAGGTAGTGAGAAGTCATTATGACAGCAGGGTGGCTGAGGTAGTGCGAAGTCATTATGACAGCAGGGAGGCTGATGCAGTGAGAAGTCATTATGGCCTCTCCCCCTTTCCATCGTTTCATCTCTGAATTTCTCCTCTCTGTCTCCCTCTTCCGTTCCCTCACCCCAGCTGCATCCCTCCGCCATCCGTCACGGAGGAGAGCCCCTCATGGCAGCGAGCCGAGCAGCAGCCATGGCTGCACGCGTGCCCATCGCCTTGCACCTCGACCATGCCACTGATGTGGCCCTTATTCGGCAATGCGTGGAACAGGTGGGTGCGCAGCAGGTGCTGCGGGCAGCAGGTCAAAGTACCTGGTTCTGCCGAGCACAGACCCCCTCACAGCAGCATGCAGAGCAGCTACCATGGCTGCACGCGTGCCCATCGCTTTGCACCTCGACCATGCCACTGACATGGCACTCATTCAGCGATGCGTGGGGCAGGTGAGTGCGCCTCGTGCCCACTGCGGAGTGAACACCCTCTGGTTTTTGAGAATTCTCAAAAACCTGCGCCTGGTGCTGAGTGTGGAGAACGGAGTTCACACCCTCTCATGGCAGCGAGCAGAGTAGTGGCAGCGAGCAGAGTAGTGGCAGCGAGTCACGACGCAAGGCGAAGGGCACGTGTGCCGAGTGCGGAGAACGGAGTTCACGCCCTCTCATGGCAGCGAGCAGAGCAGAGCAGGCCGACTGCCATGGCTGCACGCGAGCCCTTCGCCTTGCATCGTGACCATGCCACTGATGTCGCACATATTCAGTGCTGCGCGGAACTGGTGAGTGCGTATGGTAACTGCGTGCATCATGCTATGTGCATTCTCGGAGGTCCATACCCCATGTCGTGATCCAATAGTCCCTGCCCCATGCCCCATGCCCCATGACCCATGACCCATGCTCCCATGCCCCATGCCCCATGTCCCATGCCTTGTTCTCTATACCAATGCTCCATCTTCATGGCCCATCCCCCATTCCCCATTCCCCATTCCCCATTCCCCTCTACTAACCCACGTGTCCGGCGAGTGCAGGGGTGGTGCCGGTCCATCATGGCAGACGGGTCCCACCTGCCCCTTCCCTTTTTAAAATGCAATTCTCATGCCACCATACCCGATGCCCCATGTCCCATCCTTTCTCCCAACCCTCATACATGACTGCAGGGATGGTGCGGGTCCATCATGGCAGACGGCTCGCACCTGCCTCTGGCTGACAACATCGCCTTCACTCAGCGCGTTTTGGCCGCACTGGCTGCCCTCACCACTCCAGCAGCCGCAGACGCCCCTTCATCCGCAGCTACAGCAGCACGTGCATCGTCAGCAGCACCTGCAGATGCACCAGCGGCAGTGAACGCAGTGGGCAGTGGGGGAGGGGCGGTGGTGGTGGAGGCGGAGGTGGGGCGGATAGCGGGGGTGGAGGATGGGGAGACGGTGGAGGAGATTGCAGGCAGGCTTACACAGGTTGATCAGGTGAGGTGCGGTGAGAGGAGGTGGGGCGCGGTGGTCCCAACCGCCAGGTGATTCCAACTGCCATGTGGTGTCACTCTTCGCAATGTTTGTCGGCACCATCCTCATCCCTTCCCCTTCCTCCTTTCCCCCATCCACACCCCTTCCTCCTTCCCCCTTCCCCCCATACCCCTACACGCCTCATCCCTTCCCATTCCTCCTTCCCACCAGGCTGAATCCTTCCTGCAGAGCGTCCACCAAGTCTCTCTCCTCGCAGTGTGTGTGGGCAACCGCCACAGCCCCTACCCACCCTCCACAAACGTTGCCCCTGACTCTCCTTTCACACTCAACCCGGATCTTCTCATTCCCCCCTCCTTTGCCTATGCAGGCCGAGACCTTCCTTCAAAGCGTTCCCCAGGTGTCACTCCTTGCAGTGTGTGTGGGCAACCGGCACGGCCCCTATCCACCCTCCGTGCTCTCCTCCCCCGCCTCCATCCTCAACCTCCCTCTCCTCCGCTCCCTCGGCGCCACCGCCGCCCAATACCACGCCCACCTGGTGCTGCACGGCGCCTCGGGATTGCCGCCAGAGATTGTGCAGGAATGTGTACAGTGCGGCGTGCGCAAATTCAATGTTAATACCGAGTTGAGGGCTGCTTATATTGAGGCACTGGGGGGGACTGGGGGAGGGGGGGGAGGAGGGAGGGATTTGGTGGATGTGATGGGAGAGGCGGAGAGGAGGATGGTAGATGTGGTGAGGGGGAAGCTGCAGCTGTTTGGGTCAGCTGGTCGCGTGTGAGCTTGCGTATTATGTAGAAGAGGGGAGTGGGGGAGGGAGGAGAGGGATGTGGGTGAGGAGGAGGAGAAGGATGAGGGAGGGATTGGGTGGATGTGATGGAGAGGCTAAGAGAATGGTGAGTGTGGTGCAGTGGAAGCTGAGATTGTTTGGGTCGGTTGGTCGCGAGTAAGCCTGCGCGTGTGGGAGAAGTTAGTGGGGGAGAGGGGAGTGTGGGAGAGAGGAGTGAGTGGGATTATGGGATAAGGTAGTGGGGGAGGAGTGTGAGAGAGGGAGGTTGGGGGAAGGGAGAAGGGATTGTAGATTGACTTTGAAAAGGAATGGGTTAAAGAGGGGTGGAAGCTGATGAGTTGTACAGTATATTATATGAGCTATTTTAAACAGTTGATGCAATTAGATTGCATCAAGGCGTGTTCCTAAGTCTCGTGTCAGGACTCAGGCACACTTCCTATCAGACTTGTGCGGTTCAATGCTTTTCAGTGTGATCATATATGATTACGCACGTTACATATCAAAGTCAATTGTGCAAGCAACGCGGAAGCTTGTGTCAAGCGAGCGCAGGTAGGCAATGAGGTCAGCGAGGAGGACGCATTCGGGCTTGTGGGCTCGCGGGCCTGAACCAGAGACCTTTCTTACTGAAACTAAACAATTACCATCTACGCTACATGAATACACAACTATTGGTCTATTCTGAAAGTTACGTCACTCTCTACATCATGTTTTGTCTGTGAAAGTGAACTTCCAGACCAGAGGTCTATCGAAAAATTAGTATGGTAGTCCTCTTCTTCTTCTTTTGTCGAAGTAGACAACCAGTGAGCAATTGTGTACCCTTATCACTAGCACAGCAGTTTGAACAACCGTTATAATACAGACAAAGACATTGAGACCAGGCCACCCTAGTATCATACCGGTATGAGGAAGTGCTTTAGGATGGGCCGGCCCCCCTCCCAGTGCCAATTGCCACCATCCTAGTGCTCTTGCAGGCAATCCCATTGCCGGAGTGTCACTTCAACTAGGCCTGCAACGCGCGATCCATGATGTCTGTCGTCGCAATATTAGAAGCCCTGTCTATCACAACTCGGAAGAAAGTATTAACTTTGCAGTATCCTCCCACCCATCACCACGGCAATACTTTCAGGTACCAAGTCTCACTTCAACGAGGCCTGCAGTGCGCGATCAATGATATGCGTCGTTTTCATGTTAACCACCAATTGGAACGCGGGCGGCATTGGATGATTGTAGTTCGCAAGGTAGAAACTCTCGTCCACTCTCCTCGGCCCAACCGCCCACCTCGGGCAGGCTTTAAAGTTTGGCAAATTCTTGAGCAGCGATGAGCGCTTGTACACTCCAAAGTCGTTCTGCGCGTAATCGAAGAACGCTGCAGAGGGAATATCCGTGAGGTTCACCATCTGGTGCTTGTTGAACGTCCCCTCCTCCACCGTCGGCAGCACCTCGCAATACTTATACCCCATATCGCGCGTCCCGTTAGCAACAATAAGCCGAACGAAATTATCCGTCGGAAGGCCGCTGCAATACCCGGTTTGCTTCCCTGAAAGCGTGCCTTTGCGGCCGATATTGCACAGCTTGCCTCGAATGCTCCGGTCCTGGCACACACTGTCCCACCAGGGCCACTGCGAGCGGAAGAGAGGAGTGTCATAGTATTTCTTTCGCATGGCCTCCCAGTAGGTTCCTGGGCGTTTGGCGCAGTTGTTGACGGTGGGAGTGAAGCACGTGCACCAGCCGGGCATGCCTGCTACGTCCTTGATGATTATGTTGTCAATGGAGTTCCTGTGAGGGGGGAGACAGGAAGGAGGAGGAGAGAGGAGCGCATGGTGGTTGACGTGGCAGTGGGAGGGGCAGTGAAGCACTTGAAGCACGTGCATCAGCCGGGCATGCCTGCTACGTCCTTGGTGATGATCTTGTCAATGGAGTTCCTGTGAGGGTTGGGGGGAAGAAGGGGGCAGGATAGGGCGGAGCGGAGGGGATGATATGTGAATGTGCTACCATAAAGGCCTCTTCATCATCCTAACCCATCCTGGCTGCTCTACCCATCCTGGCTGCTCTACCCATCCTGGCTGCTCTACCCATCCTGCCTGCTCTACCCATCCTGCCTGCTCTACCCAAAGCCTTCACATGAATCACCCTCTTCTCCTCCCTCCCCACCCACACTCACCACTTGCCGTTGTTGACTTTGATGCCATCGTATGTGCCCACACACGCCCCTCCATTCACCGTCACTCCTGACGTGACATAGTCCAGGTAGTAGCAGTGGTCTCCATTGAACACGTAGTTGCACTCCGCCAGGTTCGCTGCAATGAGGTTCACGAGGGGGATGACAGGGATCAAGGCGGTTGAGAGGGGATGTGATAGTTGCCATGGGGTTGAATTCAGGAGCAGCAGTTCACAAAACCCAATGTGACATACGCCCAGCACAGCACCCACCAGGACTGAACCAGTGCTTGCTTCTCTCACCTCTCTCCCACCCCACCAAACCCCAAGTGGTTGCCACCTCCCTCCCCAATCCCACACCCCTACCATCAGCACCCACCAGGGCTGAACCAGTGCGTGCAGAAGTAGATCCCGGCAGCGTCTTGGTTGTTTGAGTGATTAGTGCCGGCAGCAACAACAATGTTGTACGAGATGGTCGCCAGCACGCAGTCCGCCGCGTAGTGCACGTGCGCGCCGCACACCCATGGCTGAACCAGTGCTCGGCCCTCTCATCTCCCTCCCACCCTCCAGGGCTGAATCACCCCGCCAAATCTCAATTGGTTGCCACATCGCTCCCAAATCTCTGCACCCTCACCAGCACCCACCAGGGCTGAACCAGTGCGTGCAGAAGTAGATCCCGGCAGCATCTTGATCCCCGGACCGGTTAGTCCCAGCGGCCACCACAATGTTGTACGAGATGGTCGCCAGCACGCAGTCCGCCGCGTAGTGCACGTCCGCGCCGCAGCGGATGCCCGCGAATATGAAGTCGTGCACGTAGTTGTTGCGCACTATCACGCCAATGGCGCCTTGGTAAAGGACAATTGGGGTATCGACACCTGTTGAGTGGGTGGGAGAGAGAGTGGGGGAGCAGAGAGAGGAGGAGGAGAGGGGGGAGGGAGCGAATATGAAGTCGTGCACGTAGTTGTTGCGCACTATCACGCCAATGGCGCCCTGGTACAGCACGATGGGGGTATCGACGCCTGTTAGGGACGGGGTGGGGTGGGGGGAAGGAGGGAAGGAACGAGGATGAAATTGGGCACGACACGAAGTTGTTGCGCACTGTGACGCCCATGGCTCCCTCATACAAGCGGGAGGTTCCGGAAGGCAAACGGAGGGCAAACGGAAGGCAAACAGAGGGGGGAGGGAGGGAGGGAGCGAATATGAAGTCGTCCACGTAGTTGTTGCGCACTATCACGCCTATGGCTCCCTGGTACAGCACGATGGGGGTATCGACGCCTGTTAGGGGTGGGGTGGGGTGGGGGAAAGGAGGGAAGGAACGAGGATGAAATTGGGCACGACACGAAGTTGTTGCGCACTGTGACGCCCATGGCTTCCTCATACAAGCGGGAGGTTCCAGAAGGCAAACGGAGGGCAAACGGAAGGCAAACGGCTTTGCTGGACCGCTCGTACGCCACGAGCCTCTGCGTTCCCTGACGCCTGGCCTGCTGAGATTGACTCACCGTAGACCTCGTTATTGGTGATCGCGATATACGACTTCTCCAGCGTGGGCCCATAGCCGCTCATGGCGACGCGAATCACGCCCGGCGACTTGTTGAACACGGGAACTCCCGTGACCCGCATGGAGTCGACGCGAGATGACATGCTTCGAAACAAGTCAATGCGCCCAAATACTATTCCTTTGGCAATCTGAATCCCGTAACTCCTGTAGACGTGTATTGTAGGGCAATTTACCCCGACGCCGTTCTCGGGAACACCGACGCATTCGGGAGACGAGGTGCGAACTCCGAGGGAAAAACTCACTCCTAGTACAAGCACGTTGCTGGTGTTCCATATCCGCAATACAGGCTGATCCGCTCCGAAATAAGAAATCTTAAAACCGGATCCGGTTATGTTGTTGGAACGCAGTACAGTGCACGAGTAGCGCGAGTCGAACAGCAGACCCTTGTCGAGAACGAGGTTCTTATTTAACTCCAAGATGACGGTGCGCGCTCGCGGGTAGTTGAGGCGGCGCGCAATGTCGTCAGCAGTAAAGACCTTGATATAGACTGCTCCCTCGTAGTCGGAGCAAAAGCCGGGAGTGAAAGTGTCCTCTTCTGTAAGCGGGGGAAAATGAAAGGGGGGGGGGGGGGGCGGGGAGGGGGGAAAAAGGGGAGAGGAAGATTGAGGGGCGGAGGGAAGGGATGGGCCGGAAAGGTGAGGAGCGGGGGAGTGGCGGAGTGACGGAGGGAAATGGGAGACAGAATGGGGCAGGGAAGGGGGAGGACCAAGGAGAGTGGGTGGAACAACTGAAGTCGCATTGGCAAGGCAGGGAAGGGGAAAAGGAGATAAGGGGGGGAGGCGATGGAGGAGGGTCAGAGAAAAGGGGAGGAATGGGAGCGGGAGGATGGGCAAGAGGGGTTTGGAGCGCGCATATAGTGCGGAGTAAGAGAAGGGGGGAGGGGAGGTGTTTGGGGAAGCAAGGGAGTATGCAGGGTAAGGTTAAGAGATAGCTATAAGTAGCAGACTCACGTGTTTTTCGTCTGGTTAGGTGATCGTTTAGATAGCTTGTTGCTGTGGCGAGAGCAGACGCTGCCTCGCTGTAAGCTGATCCGAAATTGCCTGTGAGATTGTTGTCTCGAACGGCTCTCATGCCGAAAGGGGACGGAGATTTTGAATCGACCCCATTTCCGCTACTGTACATGCTCGCACTGTATCGGGACTGCTGCCCGTCTTGTATCGAGTCCAAAAACCGCCAGAAGAGGCCGCGATACTGGGTAATAGGAGGGAAGCCATCGGCCGGGCGCGCCACAAGGAGAAGGGTCACGACGGAGAGAAGCACGAGGCATTGCATTGCGCGCCGAGCCATTACTACGGTGCTAGAGATGTGTGACGAGGAGCATCAAACAGGGATGGCGAGAGGAGGGTAACTCGGTCTGCGCGGCGAGGGCTCGCGAAGTTGTACGCAGCAGGATGGCGATGAACGGCGACCAACTCGGGATGTTTCGCTAGTATATCTGCGCGACGGATGGGTACTACAATGAGTCGCAGAGCGAGCGAGCGACAAGTCTGACGACAGACGAGCTCGTGTGGGCGTATGCTTGTGAGACCGCGGAGAAAAGACTCGGCTGGAATCGCCTTGGCTGAAATTAGGGAATGACAATGATGATGACGATTCGCCTCTGTTCCGTTTCCTGCATTATGGCGTGAAGGTAATGCCGCCAACGCGAGTTGAGTTGAGTTGAGTTGGTGGGTTCTTTTGACGGTTCTCTGCTCCTTGCTATGTCAAATGGCAGTGCCATGGGATGATGATGGTATCTATGCCACACACATGCCATGTTCAGGTTCTCGAGCATTCGCGAGGTCCAGTACCCAGGTACAAGTAACATGTCGCAACTTTGTTGATTGGTAAGCCTGACAGGCTTTCTGCGAAAAGAGTTCGCGACGCGATCGCCATGCATCGACCTGTTACACCTGGAAACCATCATGTGCAACTGCAGGTGACGGCGTTGAGAAAGGAAAGCTCCAGCCGAAGCTCATCACCTGCGGCTCGCAACCTCAGGTGCTTATCAAGATATCAAGCAGGAATGACGACAATCGAGTCAAACAAATCACATACCCGCTATGATGCAATCCAGCACCAACCAAGAAAAGCAACTCACAGTTTAGTCATTCCGTAATTGAATGCATAAGTTAATGGTGTAGCCCCAAGATTGGTTTTGCGAATATCGTTTTTGTCTCACGTCGCATCGCCCGACAATTTCAAGAAGTCCGTTTCACCAATGTCAAGGTCGATTTTGCCTCCCTTTTTCCCGCCTCTTTGGGTGGGATGGAAATTCTGGGCCAGCCGGGCCCTAGTTCTCGAATTCTGTTGTACTGCTTGCTTCTGGATATTACCAGAGCCGTCATGGTCGCAGCTCAAGCTTGGTGGACCTTGACGGATATGACGTGCGGAATAATTTAGGACCATAGGATGGATATCGCAGTGCATGTGTAATTGTGTTGATGCTTTTTATAACCAGCTAATACTGGAATAGATTGTTGATGGCGGTAGGTACCGAAGCGGTACCATTAAGTACCAAGATGCGGCTTAACAAGGACTACGATAGTCTTCGATGGCTTTCCTAAAGAATCTTCGTAAAAACTTAAAGCAGCTGGGGTAAAACTGTGGACTACGGGAGCCATTGCCGTAGGCCTGTGCGGTCATTGAACCGATAACACCGCCCAGGTTGGAGTTAGGTATTTAAAGAAGCGAGGTTACGACGAAAAGGGGATTAGTTAGAAGCAGGGACATGGGGAGACGCGAAGAGGAGAGGAGGCGGAGGAGCGGCAGGAAGCCGGGAGAATCGATAATGCCGTATTCGATGCAGAAGCTCCTTAAGAGGAACTATAAGGCGGTGTACGCCAGTGAGGTGAGTGTGATTATATCAGAGGCGAATGTGACAAAGAGAGAGGGTCAGGAGATGTGAATGTGACTGTATAGGCATGCCTAGTCCTCCTTTCTCTGGTCATCGTGGACGTATCTCCTCCCAGGACATCCTATCGCTGTACCACTCGTCCCTGCTGTACGGCGAGGTGCCTTTCACCAGTCGCCTGCGAGCCGTGCTCACCTCATTCTCTCTCTCTCCCTTCCCGTTCCTCTCTCGTATCTCCTCCCAGGACATCCTATCGCTGTACCACTCCTCCCTGCTGTACGGCGAGGTGCCTCTCAACAGCCACCTGCGAACCACGCTCACCTCATTCTTTCCACCCCGCCCTTTCTCCTCCCTTTCCTCTCCATTATCACCTCCCAGGACATCCTATCGCTGTACCACTCGTCCCTGCTGTACGGCGAGGTGCCTTTCACCAGTCGCCTGCGAGCCATGCTCACCTCGGGGCCCATCAGCCTCGCCGTCACTGCTGTCAGTCCCTTGCCGCCAGTGCTCTGACTCTGTAACGGATCCGCATGGGATGCTGTGACTTTACCGAATCCTCACAAGTGCTGTGACCACCCCATGCCATTCCTTGGTGTTGCATGGCGTCTCATGCTAGAATGGTATGTGATCACATTTGCCTCCTTATGTTGGACTGCTCCGTGCCTCACCACCTTTCTCTCTCACTTCGCTTCTCCCACACTTATCTACTCCCGCTTATCCCGCACTTAGCTTCTCCCGTTTATCCCTCACTTCGCTTCTCCCACACCCCAGGCCGAGTTTATAGCTGCCTGCACGGGTGCAGTGTACTATCTCATTGGAACCAGGTACGGTGCAATGCACTACATCTTAGTAGGCAGGCAGGCAGGCAGGGGGCCGGCGGGTGGGCGGGCAGGCAGGCAGGCAGAAGGTGCTGTGAACGTGAGCCACGTGGCCATGCTTGAGATGCCCTTACTATTAACTCACAATCACAGCGCTGGCTATTCCTTGCATGTTGTGCCACACCCTCACGGACGTCCATGCCCCTTATTCCAGTGCCTGCCATCCGTACCTCCCGCCCATACCTCCCGCCCATATCTCACGCCCATATCTGCCACCCATACCTCCCGCCCATACTTCCCGCCCGCACCTCACGCCCACATCTGCCACCCATACCTCCCGTCTATACCTCTCGTCCGTACCGTCCATAACCCCCAGGGAGACCGTGGCACAGGTGAAGGCATGGAACGCAGGGCACTTTGCTGTCGCCGTCTTCTTCATCCTGCTCTTCCTCCTCCGCCTCTACAGGCGAGTTGCTTCCCCCTCCGCCTCTACAGGCGAGTTGCTTCCCCCTCCGCCTCTACAGGCGAGTTGCTTCCTCCTCCGCCTCTACAGGCGAGTTGCTTCCTCCTCCGCCTCTACAGGCGAGTTGTTTCCCCCTCCGCCTCTACAGGCATGTTGCTTGCTTCCCCTAAGGACATCCTTCCTGCCCTTCCTGAGCTCGGCCCCCTGTGTTTCTCACATTCCTCATTCACCGCAAACACACATCCAACCCGTCCCTCCGTATCCGTCCTCCCACGTGCAGTGCGCCAGTGCGGTGGCTGTATGTGTGCTCATACCTGGGGTTGCTCGACATCCTATCTGGTGTGCTGTGCTCGCTATGACTCGCATGCCCCATTCACTCCCATCCCCCGCCGCCACCCTTACCCCCACGTGCAGTGCACCAGTGCGGTGGCTGTATGTGTGCTCGTACCTGGGAGTGCTGGACATCCTATCTGGCATTCCTGTGCTGGGCTCCCTGTGAGTCTTCCTCACATGCCTTCACCTCCCTGTGAGTCTTGCTCACATGCCTTCACCTCCCTGTGAGTCTTGCTCACATGCCTTCACCTCCCTGTGAGTCTTCCTCACATGCCTTCACCTCCCTGTGAGTCTTGCTCACATGCCTTCACCTCCCTGTGAGTCTTGCTCACATGCCTTCACCTCCCTGTGAGTCTTCCTCACATGCCTTCACCTCCCAGTGAGACTTGTTCACATGCCTTCACCTCGCAGTGAGACTTGTTCACATACTCTCACCTCTCTGTCAGTCTTACTCACATGCTCTCGCCTCTCCGTGAGTTGTGACAGACGCCAGGCCATTCTGGAACGTTCATTGCACATGGTGGGGCCTATGCTGCCATGCCATGAGTGCATGCTGCCATGAGTGCATAACGGCAATCCACTTATCCCCTCTTCTTCAGATGGAACTGTACTCTCCATCCCCTCCCATCCTCTGCCACCCCCTCCCATCCTCTGCCACCCCCTCCCATTCCCTGCCATCCCCTCCCATCCTCTGCCATCCCCTCCCATCCTCTGCCACCCCCTCCCATCCTCTGCCACCCCCTCCCATCCTCTGCCATCCCCTCCCATTCCCTGCCATCCCCTCCCATTCCCTGCCATCCCCTCCCATTCCCCTCTCGCATGGCCAGCCTCACCGTCAGCAGGACTGCAGGCACCCTGTTTCAAGTCGTCTACTTCTTGCAAATCTTCAAGTAAGCCTAAGTCTGTGCAAGAATATTCGATATTCGAGAATTATTCGATATTCGTTCGAATACCTGAATTCGAGAGAATAAGAAATGGCCGTGTATTCGAAAATATTCGCATCACAAGTATTCATGGGTGAAGAATATTCGGCTAACGAATATTCGGGGTATTCGTTACTATTCGGTATTCTACCATTAACACCCTCCCCCCACTTCCCCCTCTCCCCACATGCGGCTGTCATCTTTGGCAATCTGTCTACAAGAGGCCTCATGAGAACCGCGCTCAAAAGCCTAGCAAGATAGTTGCTGGAGCGGGATAACGAAAGGTCATGGTGTGGGATTGAGTCGTGATGTTGATATTATAAAGTGCATTGTATCACCCTGTGTCGAACATGCATTAGCCGTTCTACACTGGCTATACAAAATATATTATTACTCGACACTTATTCGTATTCGATTTGGATTCGGCGGTACTCGAATCGTATTCATATTCGGTTTTTGGTAAGTATTCGAATCGTATTCGTATTCGGTTTCGGGCCAGTATTCGGCCAAATAAGAAACCACCCGGTATTCGGAGAATATACAGGAAAAATATTCGTATTCGTATTCGTTTGTACAGGCTTAAGTAAGCCTCACCTCTGTCAGTGACTGATCCACCCTCCTTTGAGCTCATGGCATGTCTCAAACTGCTCACCAGCACTTTGTGTCACGTAAGATACAGGCCATCAGGACCCCTTCCTTTATTGCTCCTCGCAGGCCTTCTTTGTGTGTTTCCTCGCTTAACTTTCTAGGTGCCTCAAAATCTGCCAAACAGAAGTATTCGCTTGCGCCTGTAAAAGTTTCTCTCTCGTCCTCCTCCATTCGCCCCATCCATTGCCATTTTTCTTCCTCCCTCCTCTCCCGCTTCCTATCGTGTCCTCTCCCGTTCACACTTACGGCCTGACACGCACTCTCTCGCTCACCCGCACCGCACATTCACTCACAGGCCCTTCACGCGCCTGCAGCAGCTGGGCTTGTCAGGGCTTGTTTTGAGTCTACTCAAAGCACACTCGTTCACACACTCTCTCTCTCACCCGCACACTCATCCATAGGCCCTTCACGCGTCTGCAGTAGCTGGGCTGGGACATCACGTCCATCACACAGGACGTCATCAACCTCATTGTCTACCTCACCTCATCTCACTCTCACTCTCTCTCTCACCCGCACACCAACTCTCAGGCTCTTCACGCGCCTGCAGCAGCTGGGCCTGGACATCACGCCCATCACTCAAGAGGTTATCAATCTCATCGTCTACTTAACTTCGCTAAGTATGCCTCTTAGGCCCAACTAAGTGTTTCTCTTTGATGTTAAGTATGTCTCTTTGACATGAAGTATGACTTTTAGGATGTCTCTTTGAAACTATGTCTTTTAGGCGAATCAGTATGTGCCGTTGCGTCATGAAGTCAGTCTTGCTGACAGAAAGGAATCTGCTGCATGGGTCGAGTCCCCTAAACATGTCCGTCGCCCACCTGGTCGTTTCTGGTATGATATCCCCCTTTTCTTTTCCAACTGCAGTATTCGCAGCAGCAGGCATCTTCCTGTGGGTGACCTACCTGAACCCTGAAGTGAAGGAGACTGGCAGCTGTGAGCCAGTCAACTGCCTCAACTACGCCATGTCACTCTACTTCGTTGTTGTCACGGTGAGATGTGGGTAGGTTAGAGGTGGGTGGGTGAGAGGTGGGTGGGTGAGAGGTGGGTGGGTGAGAGGAGACAGGCAGCTGTGGGCCTGTGCAGCCTTGACATTGCTCTACTCTGTTGTTGTCCGTTGTTGCTCTACTCCGTTGCTGTCCGTTGTTGCTCTACTCCGTTGTTGTCCGTTGTTGCTCTACTCCGTTGTTGTCCGTTGTTGCTCTACTCCGTTGTTGTCTGTTGTTGTCCGTTGTTGCTCTACTCCGTTGTTGTCCGTTGTTGCTCTACTCCGTTGCTGTCCGTTGTTGCTCTACTCCGTTGCTGTCCGTTGTTGCTCTACTCCGTTGCTGTCCGTTGTTGCTCTACTCCGTTGTTGTCCGTTGTTGCTCTACTCCGTTGTTGTCCGTTGTTGCTCTACTCCGTTGTTGTCCGTTGTTGCTCTACTCCGTTGCTGTCCGTTGTTGCTCTACTCCGTTGTTGTCCGTTGTTGCTCTACTCCGTTGTTGTCCGTTGTTGCTCTACTCCGTTGTTGTCCGTTGTTGCTCTACTCCGTTGTTGTCCGTTGTTGCTCTACTCCGTTGTTGTTGCTCTGAATGAATCCCTCATGATTGTTCAACATGAAACTACACATATGCCTCGACTATGCCGTGTCACTCTTCTTCGTTGTTGTCACGGTGAGACGAGCTGCAATGGCAGCCCAAAGGCTCACTGTGGCTCACAAACCCAATCCCCTGCCCCCCACCCACCACTCCTCCTCAACAAATATCCACAGTGGGCTATGGCGACATCTTTGCAACCAACACAGCGGGGCGGGTGGTGGTGATGCATCACACCCTTCTCTCTCCCCCTCCTTACCTCACCCATCTCCCTCCCCGCGCCCGTGCACCAGATATCCACGGTGGGCTATGGTGACATCTTGGCCACCAAGGGGTCTGGTGGGCGGTGGTGATGCGTATGATGGTTCCCTCTTCCTCCTCCCCACCTCCTCCTCTCCCTCCTCTTCAGATATCCACGGTGGGCTATGGTGACATCTTGGCCACCAACACAGCGGGGCGGGTGGTGGTGATGTGCATCATTGTCTCAGCACTTGTCATTCTGCCCGTGCAACTCAGCAACATCTCCAACCTCCTCGCACACAGGTCACCTTCTACTACATTATTCACGCTCCCATTCACATTCTCATCCACCCACCCTCACATTCTCGCCCCCAGTCACATATACAGTTCTGTTTTCAGGCATTCTGCTAACTTTCAGTTTCGCGTTGTGTCATTCTGCATTGGTGTCCTGTCCAGCCCTGGTTTTTGCAGTTTCAAGTTTTTACCACCTCCACTCCCTTTACTGCTCCCTTTCTCAGGCCGTATGGTGGAAGGTTCTCAGCAGCTTCCGCCACGGGCATGCGGTTTGTGGTGCTGACGGGGCAGCTCTCTCCACTCTCCATCCAGCAGTTCCTTGCTGAGCTGTACCACCCACTACATGACAAAGGTAGCCGCCCGCTTAATTCGCCAAAGGTAGTCGCTCGCTGCATTGCCAAGATAGCCAACTACATGACAAAGCTAGCCACTCGTTACATAATATTATCATCTCTCCTCACAATCACACCCCCTGGGTTTTTCCCCTCCCTTTCTCTTTCCCCGCCCTTGTGTGCTTTCCCTTATCATCAGACTTTGCTTCCTACCCTCTCCACACCGTCATTCTCGCGCCCTTTGAACCATCGTGAGTCCACCTCTTTAGCCCAGAAACCCCTTTCCCTCGTAAAGCACCAGTCTGCTTCCATCTCTCATTTCATGACTTTCATTTGACTCATTTAATCTCTCATCCTCATTCCACGGATTTCTCCTCCCTGCTCTCCTGTGATGACTCTCCTTGGACGTCTCCATTCACAGCTTTCATTCATACCTCTAATTGCACAGCTCTCATGATCTCCTGGCTGCGCTCATCCTTTTCTGCACACCCGCTCACCACCACTCTCTCCGCCCCACCTCCAAACCTACTCCAATCACCTCCCACCCCTAATCACCTCCCTCTCCCCGTTCCCCCCTCCAGCTTTGAGCTGCGTGCTCTAATCACGGAATACCACGGTGCAGTGCGGTTCATTCAGGGTTCGCCCATGACGCTCTACGACCTGCACCGCGTTCAAATCGCCCTCGCTTCGGCCGTCTTCATCCTCCTCCCCTCGCTGCAATCCGTGAGTCCTCCCACCTTCCCTCCTTTTGAGTAGTCTTGATTCGCCCATGACGCTCTACGACCTGCACTGCGTTCAAATCGCCCTCGCTTCTGCCGTCTTCATCCGCCTCCCCCCTCTGCAATCCGTGAGTCCTCTCCCCCCTCCACTTCATAAGTCCTCCTCCTCCCCACCGAAATCCATGAGTCCAGTTGCTCTTCTCGGAGCATCATCTTATCGTCCCATCATCCTATCGAATCTCTCTTTGGCCTACAGACCCTGTTTCTCTATCCTGCGTCCTTTTGCTCTCTCCCCTGCATTCCCCTCCCAGTCGCGTGCGCCGCACAACGCTCAGATAGCGCAGGCCCTTGCAATGAACCGCTACGCAGGCCCTTGCAATGAACCGCTACGCAGGCCCTTGCAATGAACCGCTCTACGCAGGCCCATTGTCACGCCTGGTTGTGGTGGAGATGGGCGACTCACAGGCTGTGCTCTTTTCTCCCCTCGATCCTCCCCACCCTCCCTCCCAGTCGTGTGCGCCGCACAACGCTCAGATAGCGCTGGCCCTTGCAATGAACCGCTACACAGGCCCATAATCACGCCTGGTCGTGGAGATGGGCGACTCACAGGCTGTGCTCTTTTCTCCCCTCGATCCTCCCCACCCTCCCTCCCAGTCGTGTGCGCCGCACAACGCTCAGATAGCGCTGGCCCTTGCAATGAACCGCTACACAGGCCCATAATCACGCCTGGTCGTGGAGATGGGCGACTCACAGGCTGTGCTCTTTTCTCCCCTCGATCCTCCCCACCCTCCCTCCCAGTCGCGTGTGCTGGACAACGCTCAGATAGCGCAGGCCCTTGCAATGAACCGCTACACAGGCCCATAATCACGCCTGGTCGTGGAGATGGGCGACTCACAGGCTGTGCTCTTTTCTCCCCTCGATCCTCCCCACCCTCCCTCCCAGTCGCGTGCGCTGGACAACGCTCAGATAGCGCAAGCCCTTGCAATGAACCACTCTACGCAGGCCCTTGCAATGAACCGCTACGCAGGCCCATTGTCACGCCTGGTTGTGGAGATGGGCGACTCACAGGCTGTGCTCTTTTCTCCCCTCGATCCTCCCCACCCTCCCTCCCAGTCGCGTGCGCTGGACAACGCTCAGATAGCGCAAGCCCTTGCAATGAACCACTCTACGCAGGCCCTTGCAATGAACCGCTACGCAGGCCCATTGTCACGCCTGGTTGTGGAGATGGGCGACTCACAGGCTGTGCTCTTTTCTCCCCTCGATCCTCCCCACCCTCCCTCCCAGTCGCGTGCGCTGGACAACGCTCAGATAGCGCAAGCCCTTGCAATGAACCACTCTACGCAGGCCCTTGCAATGAACCGCTCTACGCAGGCCCATTGTCACGCCTGGTTGTGGTGGAGATGGGCGACTCACAGGCTGTGCTCTTTTCTCCCCTCGATCCTCCCCACCCTCCCTCCCAGTCGTGTGCGCCGCACAACGCTCAGATAGCGCTGGCCCTTGCAATGAACCGCTACACAGGCCCATAATCACGCCTGGTCGTGGAGATGGGCGACTCACAGGCTGTGCTCTTTTCTCCCCTCGATCCTCCCCACCCTCCCTCCCAGTCGTGTGCGCCGCACAACGCTCAGATAGCGCTGGCCCTTGCAATGAACCGCTACACAGGCCCATAATCACGCCTGGTCGTGGAGATGGGCGACTCACAGGCTGTGCTCTTTTCTCCCCTCGATCCTCCCCACCCTCCCTCCCAGTCGCGTGTGCTGGACAACGCTCAGATAGCGCAGGCCCTTGCAATGAACCGCTACACAGGCCCATAATCACGCCTGGTCGTGGAGATGGGCGACTCACAGGCTGTGCTCTTTTCTCCCCTCGATCCTCCCCACCCTCCCTCCCAGTCGCGTGCGCTGGACAACGCTCAGATAGCGCAAGCCCTTGCAATGAACCACTCTACGCAGGTTCTTGCAATGAACCGCTACGCAGGCCCATTGTCACGCCTGGTTGTGGAGATGGGCGACTCACAGGCTGTGCTCTTTTCTCCCCTCGATCCTCCCCACCCTCCCTCCCAGTCGCGTGCGCTGGACAACGCTCAGATAGCGCAAGCCCTTGCAATGAACCACTCTACGCAGGCCCTTGCAATGAACCGCTACGCAGGCCCATTGTCACGCCTGGTTGTGGAGATGGGCGACTCACAGGCTGTGCTCTTTTCTCCCCTCGATCCTCCCCACCCTCCCTCCCAGTCGCGTGCGCTGGACAACGCTCAGATAGCGCAAGCCCTTGCAATGAACCACTCTACGCAGGCCCTTGCAATGAACCGCTACGCAGGCCCATTGTCACGCCTGGTTGTGGAGATGGGCGACTCACAGGCTGTGCTCTTTTCTCCCCTCGATCCTCCCCACCCTCCCTCCCAGTCGCGTGCGCTGGACAACGCTCAGATAGCGCAAGCCCTTGCAATGAACCACTCTACGCAGGCCCTTGCAATGAACCGCTACGCAGGCCCATTGTCACGCCTGGTTGTGGAGATGGGCGACTCACAGGCTGTGCTCTTTTCTCCCCTCGATCCTCCCCACCCTCCCTCCCAGTCGCGTGCGCTGGACAACGCTCAGATAGCGCAAGCCCTTGCAATGAACCACTCTACGCAGGCCCTTGCAATGAACCGCTACGCAGGCCCATTGTCACGCCTGGTTGTGGAGATGGGCGACTCACAGGCTGTGCTCTTTTCTCCCCTCGATCCTCCCCACCCTCCCTCCCAGTCGCGTGCGCTGGACAACGCTCAGATAGCGCAAGCCCTTGCAATGAACCACTCTACGCAGGCCCTTGCAATGAACCGCTACGCAGGCCCATTGTCACGCCTGGTTGTGGAGATGGGCGACTCACAGGCTGTGCTCTTTTCTCCCCTCGATCCTCCCCACCCTCCCTCCCAGTCGCGTGCGCTGGACAACGCTCAGATAGCGCAAGCCCTTGCAATGAACCACTCTACGCAGGCCCTTGCAATGAACCGCTACGCAGGCCCATTGTCACGCCTGGTTGTGGAGATGGGCGACTCACAGGCTGTGCTCTTTTCTCCCCTCGATCCTCCCCACCCTCCCTCCCAGTCGCGTGCGCTGGACAACGCTCAGATAGCGCAAGCCCTTGCAATGAACCACTCTACGCAGGCCCTTGCAATGAACCGCTACGCAGGCCCATTGTCACGCCTGGTTGTGGAGATGGGCGACTCACAGGCTGTGCTCTTTTCTCCCCTCGATCCTCCCCACCCTCCCTCCCAGTCGCGTGCGCTGGACAACGCTCAGATAGCGCAAGCCCTTGCAATGAACCACTCTACGCAGGCCCTTGCAATGAACCGCTACGCAGGCCCATTGTCACGCCTGGTTGTGGAGATGGGCGACTCACAGGCTGTGCTCTTTTCTCCCCTCGATCCTCCCCACCCTCCCTCCCAGTCGCGTGCGCTGGACAACGCTCAGATAGCGCAAGCCCTTGCAATGAACCACTCTACGCAGGCCCTTGCAATGAACCGCTACGCAGGCCCATTGTCACGCCTGGTTGTGGAGATGGGCGACTCACAGGCTGTGCTCTTTTCTCCCCTCGATCCTCCCCACCCTCCCTCCCAGTCGCGTGCGCTGGACAACGCTCAGATAGCGCAAGCCCTTGCAATGAACCACTCTACGCAGGCCCTTGCAATGAACCGCTACGCAGGCCCATTGTCACGCCTGGTTGTGGAGATGGGCGACTCACAGGCTGTGCTCTTTTCTCCCCTCGATCCTCCCCACCCTCCCTCCCAGTCGCGTGCGCTGGACAACGCTCAGATAGCGCAAGCCCTTGCAATGAACCACTCTACGCAGGCCCTTGCAATGAACCGCTACGCAGGCCCATTGTCACGCCTGGTTGTGGAGATGGGCGACTCACAGGCTGTGCTCTTTTCTCCCCTCGATCCTCCCCACCCTCCCTCCCAGTCGCGTGCGCTGGACAACGCTCAGATAGCGCAAGCCCTTGCAATGAACCACTCTACGCAGGCCCTTGCAATGAACCGCTACGCAGGCCCATTGTCACGCCTGGTTGTGGAGATGGGCGACTCACAGGCTGTGCTCTTTTCTCCCCTCGATCCTCCCCACCCTCCCTCCCAGTCGCGTGCGCTGGACAACGCTCAGATAGCGCAAGCCCTTGCAATGAACCACTCTACGCAGGCCCTTGCAATGAACCGCTACGCAGGCCCATTGTCACGCCTGGTTGTGGAGATGGGCGACTCACAGGCTGTGCTCTTTTCTCCCCTCGATCCTCCCCACCCTCCCTCCCAGTCGCGTGCGCTGGACAACGCTCAGATAGCGCAGGCGCTCGCAATAAACCGCTATGCGGGGCCGCTGTCCCGCCTGGTAGTGGAGATGGGCGACCCACAAGGGGCAGCTCTGCCGGTGTGGGATACTGCCACACGCCGCTTGCACGTGCTCAGCCATGAAAGCCTGCGGTTTAAGGTCCTGGGGTCCAGGTGAGTCAACGCCAGTCAACGTGGGTTTAGGTGAGTCAACACGTTTTGAGGTACTGGGCTGCACTTCCTGTGTGAGAGTGGGACACGGCCACCCACCGCTTGCACGTGCTCAGCCATGAGAGCCTACGGTTTAAGGTCCTGGGGTCCAGGTGAGTCAACGCCAGTCAACGTGGGTCCAGGTGAGTCAACGCATTCTGAGGTTACACGGTGAGGTCAATGCCAGTCAACCTGCATGAATGACCTGCACCACTGCAGTGGTCTGCATGAGTCAACGCCAGTCAACCTTCTTTAGTGCAGGTGAGTCAATGCTTCATGATTCAGCACTCTAAGTGCTCATGTGTCCCCCCCTCTTCCCCCTCCTCCTCCCCCTACTCCCACCCCCTCTTCCCCCCTCAGCTGTTTCATGCGAGGTCTCTCCACCCTTATAGCCAACCTGCTGCGCTCGCCTCTCCTGCTCGACTCGCCAGGCCACAAGGCATGGCTGCCAGAGTACCACGCCGGCTGCCTTCACTCCATCTACCCCGTGCTGCTCCCTACCCCCCCGCCTTCCACCGCTTCCCCTTCCAAGACCCTGCCCTGTTTTTCCACCAGCGTTTTCACGTGTGCTTTCCCCCCTCCCCTTCCCCCTCCCCCTCCCCATCCCCTGCCCCCCCTCCCCCCTTCCCGCAGCTGTTTCATGCGAGGTCTTTCCACCCTGATAGCCAACCTGCTGCGCTCACCTCTCCTCCTGGACTCGCCAGGCCACAAGGCATGGCTGCCAGAGTACCACGCCGGCTGCCTGCACTCCGTCTACCCCGTGCTGCTCCCCCCTGCCTTCCACGGCTTGCCCTTCGAGGAGGTCGCAGAGTTTGTGTACCGCTGCTTTCACGTGTGCCTCTTCGCTCTTGACGTGCTGGTGGATCCGTGTGCGGCGCATGGAGGCGTGGAGAGGGGTGGGGATGGTGAGGGAGGTGTTGGAAGGGGTGGGGTGCAAGCCTGTGGGGAGTGTGTAGAGTGTGTGGAGTGTGGAGGTAGGGAGGAGGGGCACGAGCGCCCTGAGGCAAAGGCTACAGCAAAGCCACCGCAGGGATCGTATGCACATGCAGCACCAGCTGCAGCAGCAGGAGCAGGAGCAGGGGGAGGGGCAGGAGCAGGAGCAGGAGCAGGAGCAGGGGAAGGGGCAGGGGCAGCAGCACCAGCAGCAACAGGAGCAGCAGCGGAAGTTTTTGAGGCGACCAAAAAAACAGCGGAAGCAGGGCCAAGCTTTTACGTGGGCATGAAGGCAAGCCGGCCACCCAGGCCTCTCAGTAACCCCCTCCCCCAGTTGACCCGCCTCCTCTCCCATCCCCACGAGGAGCTCTTTCTCCTCCTCAACCCCTCTGCTGCTGCCTCTGCTGCTGCCTCTGGTGCCCCTGCTGCATATACACCAGAAGCAGCAGGAGAAACAGCAGCAGCAGCAGCAGGGGCAGCAGGGGCAGCAGGGGCAGCAGGGGCAGCAGCAGGCAGCAGCACAGGCAGAGGGAAAGCGTGGAAAGCGGGAACTGGTTTGGAGAGGAGAATAGAGCAGCAGCTAAGGCAGGGACTTGGGCTGAGAAAGAAGGGAGCGAGAGGAGCGGGGAGAGTGGGGCTGGAGTGTGGGTGCCAGCGGGGGGTGTTCCTGCTGCCCTCCCAGCACATTATTCGCAGCTCTGTGGACGTGGGGTTAGTGATTGCACCCAGCCTCGACTCTGCTGAACGGGTCTCCGCATTCACAGGCGGATTGCACAGCGGGGAGAGTGGTTGTGGGGGGAGTGGCTCCTGGGGGGGTGGCGGTGGGGGGAGTGGGAGTGGTGGGGGGAGTGGCGGGGGCAGGCAGTCTTGGTGTTGGGGGATCGGGGGGAAGAAGAGGGAGGGAGGGATGGGAGGGGTGGCAGAAAAACAGGGCGGTGGTTGCGAGGTGGGCTGTGAAGGTGGTGGGCATCGAAAGCGGTTGTGCAAGGTGCATCAGCAGCAGCATCAGCAGCAGCAGCAGCATCAGCAGCAGCAGCATCAGCAGCAGCAGCAGCAACACCACCATCACCACCACCACCAGCATCATTCAATGACTGAGCATCAACAGCAGCAGCAGCAGCAGCAGCCAACAAGCGAAAACCAGAAACAGCAGCCTCAAGAGCAGCAGCAGCAGCAGCAGCAGCAGCTTGTTTCCCAGCCGCCTCAACCCCTGCTATTCCACCCCATCACCCATCAGCACCGCCACCCTCTCACGGCATCCGCACTGGCAGCAGCACGGTCATCCAACCCCATCTTCCGCCACCTCTCCTCCTTCCTCTTTGGCTCCCGCCGCGCCGCCGCCCTGCTGCTGCCGTCCCCTGCTGCTGCTGCTGACGCGCGGTCGCTGTTCCAGCTGGTGCGGGAGGAGTGGATGAGGCGAGGGGCGATGGAAGTGGCAGGTGGTGCGGCTGATTTGGCACCAGGTGCTGCTGCTGTGGGTGCTGGTGCTGACGCTGGTGGTGGTGGTGCTGGTGCTAGTGCTGCAGGTAGCGTGAGTTTGGGAAGAGATGTGAGTGTGAATCTGATGGCGGATGAGAGTCATTTCACGGACAGTCACCTCACCACTCCCCTGCTCTCGCGATACCACCACCACCACGTACCCTCACCAACATCCCCCCCTGCAGCAGGATCCGGCACAGCAGCAGCAGCAGCAGCAGCGGCAGCAGCTGCAGTAGCAGCAGCAGCAGCAAGAGGGCAGCAAGGTTTGGCACCCCAAACGAATCCTCCTATAACGAGGGCAAGAGAGCCTGGCAGCAGCAGCAGCAGGCGAAAGGTAGTGCGGTTTCAGGGTGTTGAGAAGGAGGATGGCGGAGGCACAGAGCACGGGGGAGAAGTAGACGTTAGAATTCAGGGTTTGCTGGTTAGGGAAGGCAGGAGAGAAGTGAGGAGGGAAGAATGGGAAATAACAGAGGAGGGAGGCCAGGCGAGAAGTGTGGAGGAAGGGAATGTGTCGCAAGACCCTGAAGATGATGTTTGGGGCGTTGGTACGACGGTGGAGGGTGGTGGTGGTGGTGGTGCTGCTGCTGCTGCTGCTGCTGTTGGTGCTGGTGGGGAGGCGGGTGTGTTTGCGCAGGATAAGCCCTTCTTGCACCTGCTATCCAAGGCTGGTGCAGAGGAGCAACGAGTGGGGAAGGGCGAAGGAAAGGGAGAGCGGACGAAGGAAGGCGACGAGAAACAAGAAGCGGAGAAGCAAGGGGACGAGGGAGAGGGTGGGACGGAGGAGAAGGGGGCGGAAGCGAGAGAGGAGGGGGGAGAAGAGGAGGAAGAGGAGGAAGAGGAGGAGGAAGAGGAGGAGGAAGAGGAGACAGAGAGGCCAGCAGTGGAGGTGGTAGATCGGCATGAGGGGGCGATTCTAGCTCATCTGGACTCCCACACCCTCCCTGTTGCGGACTTCTCCTTCCCCCACATCCTCGTGTGCCTTGCTGGCAACAGCCGAAGCCATGGTGTTGGTGGGAGTGATAGTGACGGGGAGGAGGAGGGGGGTGGGGAGGGTAGGGAGGGAGGAGGGGGTGTGGTGGCATGGCCGGCGAATCTGTTCTGCCTGGTGAAGCATCTGAGGAGCAGGGCACTGCCGCAACGACCCGTGCTTATCATGCATCCCCATGTACGTTTGCTTGCGCTCATCCATTCCTTTTGGGAGGGAGGGAAGGGGCGTGGTGGCATGGTCGGCAAATGTGTTCTGCCTGGTGAAGCATCTGAGGAGCAGGGCACTGCCGCAACGACCTGTCCTTATCATGCACCCCCATGTACGTACCTTTCTGCTCATAAATTGTTTAGGTGCCTCAATAATCTGCCTCGTGGCCTCATCCGAGCCAGCGTCCTCACTCCACCTCTCTTTCTTCCCACTGTTTCTTACTTTCCTCCAACACCTCGCAGCACCCCACTCACCGAGAGTGGGCCCAGGTGAGCATTTTCCCCAGTGTCTTCTTCCCCTGTGGCTCACTCACTCACGAATCACGATCTCAATTTCATCCCAGTCACTCTCCCCTCTCCCTTTCTCCCTCTTCCCCTCCCAATCCTCCAACACCACGCAGCACCCCACCCACCGGGAGTGGGCCCAAGTAGGCATTTTCCCCGACGTCTTCTTCCTCTGTGGCTCCTCCACGCACGATCTTGATCTGATTCCAGCCTATGGCCTCTTTCCTTCCCCCACGTGTTTGTTCTCTGTGGCTCACCCACGCACGATCTCGAACTCATCCGAGCCGGCGTCCTCTCAGCTTCTCCTCACTCCTCTCTCCCCCCCCCCTTCACCCACCTCAGCATCCCACCCATCGCGAGTGGGCCCAAGTGGGTATTTTCCCCGACGTGTTCTTCATCTGCGGCTCACCCACTCACGATCTTGACCTCCTCCGAGCCGGCGTCCTCTCCGCCGAAAAAGTCCTCGTCGTCTCCCCCGACCAATTGCCGGGCGCCACGTCACCCTCCCTCTCCTCCTCCTCAGGCCCCTCAGCAGACCTGGCAAGCGTGGTGGTAGCAGCACACGTGGAACAGTTACAGGGAGGGTGGGAGACAGACGGGGGAAGCGGGGAAGCAGCGGAGGAAGGGGAGAGCAAGAGGGGGGGATTGCTGGTAGAGTTACAGAGTGAGCAATCTTATCAGTACTTCCAGCCGCTGTATCTGCTGCCAGGGCGGCGGGCTGAGAGGAGATCTTATCTGCGGAACAGGATGGGAGTGTACGCCTTTGCTCCTGTCTGTCAGAGCGGAAGGGCGTTTTGCAGCTCTGCTCTCTCTGCTGTCTCGTAAGTATTGCCATGCAAAGACTTGCGACATTCTTTCATGATGTTTCATTCTTGGATATTGCATGGTGCTTCATACTCTAGTGATCTTTGGTTCGGCAACTGTTGTCCATGTAAGTGTTCTTATTTTGACCTTTCTCCATTTTGCTGTTTTCTTTTTCAACTGTTCTCCATATAGCTGTTTTCCTTTCTAACCGTTCTTCTCTTCAACTCTGTCTCTTCACCAATGACCTGCTGCTCCGCTCCTCCCCCTGTTCCTCCCCCCTTCCCCCGCCCTGCTGCTTCCCCCCATACCAGTGTGGCCACCTTCTACAATCGCAACATCTCCACCATTCTGCACCTCTTGCTATCTGGCAGCCCTCCCGTCCCCCCTCTCACTGCCACTCCTCGTGCTGCTGCTTCTGCTGCAGCTTCAGCTACTACCGTTGCAGCTCCTGCTGCTCCTGCTGCTTCTGGTGCTCCATCTGCTGCTTTCCCGTCATCGTCTTCCACACCCAAGCAACACCCAGCAGCAGCACGATCACCTCCTCGCACCCACCGGCACCACCAGCACCAGCACCCGAAGCACCGGCGGCAGCTGTGGCAGTGCGAGGTGCCGCACGAGTTTGTGGGGAGGGGGTATGGCGAACTCTTTATAGACATGCTGCGCTCCAGGCATGCGCTTGCACTGGGGCTGTACCGTGTGGCGGGCACCTTGGGATCTCCAACTGCCTTTGTGCACACGAATCCTCTCCCGTCTACACCTCTTTCTCACGGTGACCTCGTCTTCTACATCATGTGAATAAGTGTAGTGTCTTTCTGCCTGGTACCGTATAAGCCACATTTCTGTTAAATTCAGACTCTCCCTCGTTGGCGGTGATGGCATAGCCATACCACCTAGGTGTGGATTGCAAAGGCCTGGGAAGAACAGATCGCCTCCCCAGTGGTAGTTTCAAGCATGGTTTCCAGTGAAGATACAAACCTTGAATCGGGTCGAAATATTATATTTTAGCCAAACATGCCTTGAGCCACATGTTCATGGTGCAGTCTGCACTGCCCGTTCTTCATATCTACACTCGATAAAGTCCCATTGCCTAGCAACCCGGCGAAGTATGCAAACGTGCTGATGTAACTGCCAGCTTCAATAATGGTGCGAGCTTTTGAAAGCAGGAAAAACTCAGCCATGGTGGGGAGCCGCTGTGCAACACTTTCAGCAGTGCCATCCACACCAGCCCTGCTGCTGCTACTAGTATTACTAATGCCCTTCGGCCGTGTCCCCCAGTTACTGGTCTTGAGGCCCTCTGCGTCCGAACTTCCCGCACTGCCCGCACTGCCCGCACTGCCTGCGCTGCCACCAGCCTTGGAGGTGTGGAAGATACCTCCAGAGGAGAAGAAGACTGTGCCGTACTCAGCCAGGCGTGCCACAAACTCAGCTCGGTGCTCCTCATCGTCTGTTGCCAGGAAGATGGAAAACTCCCTGCCGCCAGCGAGGCTGCTGCTGCTGCTTGATCCGTCTCTGTTATTAGAGGGTTCTGTGGTGCTGGCGCTGGGGAGGTCGTCTCGCATGGAACGGAGTGTGCTGAGAATGCCACCTACGCACTCCCACAAGCAGTTGCGCAGGAATCGCGGTCGAGGAGAAGCAAAACTATTCCCGCCATTGCCGATACTGCTACTGCTGTTACCACTGGCACTGGTGCTGATGCTGGTGCTGGTGCTGGTGCTGGTGCTGCTGGTGGTGGTGCTGACTTCAGGGGAATCTTCAGGGTCTTGGCAGTCGGCATCTTGGTACGTGTCTCCTAATTGCCGAACAACTTTCTCTAAAGCCAGAGTGCGAGTGCGGACATGGAACCCCACGTCAAACTCTATCTCGGGCCCCGCGTGTGCTGGCTCGCTGGTAATTGATGAGGCTGCTAAAGATGCTGGGTCTGCTGTACTGCTACTGCTGCTACTGCTACTGCTACTGCTGCTGCCTGTGCTGCCCGTTTCTTGGGTGCTGCTTTCTCTGCTGATACCACTGCCATGATTGCTGCTGCTGCTGCTGCTGCTGCTATGAGGCACACGGCGAAGAACAGAGGAGATGGTGGAGGCAAGGGCTGGAGTGGGGCCGGTGCGAGAGAGGAACGCGAACATGGCCCGGGAGTGAACACACCACACGGACCTGGGAGGAGACAAGTGCAATGGGAGGGTGTGGAAAATATCACGATGACATTCATAGCAGCAGTGGTGGTGGAGGCGAGGGCTGGAGTGGGGCCGGTACGAGAGAGGAACGCGAACATAGCCTGGGAGTGAACGCACCACACGGACCTGGGAGAGGGGTGGGGAGGGCAATGGGAGGGTTAGGGGAGAGATGCTGCTGGCATCAGCGGCAGCAGTGGTGGCGGAGGTGAGGGCTGGAAAGGGACCAGTGTGAGAGAGGAAGGCGAACATAGCCTGGGAGTGCACACACCAGACAAATCTGGGAAGGAGGGGGAGGAGTGGGATGGGGGCGGGAGTGTGCGTTTGAAGTAATCTCAAAAGTGGAGGGCGAGCATGTTGTGGGAGTGCAGACACCACACAGACCTGGGAAAGAGGGGATGAGCAATGGGAATGTGTGGGGAAATATCATGATGACATTAATGGCATCAGTGGGCGGTGGAGGCGAGGGCTGGAGTGGAACCGGTGCGAGGGAGAAAGATGATGATGGCACCAGCAGCAGCGGCAACAACGGTGGGGCCCGGGTTTGGAGAGGTGATAATGCTCACAGGAGCACTGGAAGGCGGCGAAGACGCAGGAGAGCAGGCGGTCACTGCGGTGCCAGACGAGGTCGAAGAGCGTGCTGCCGAGGATCACAGAGTGACTCACAGGCAGGCACTAACGATTCACTCATGAGTGTGTTTCGTTGACTCACGAGCAGTGGAAGGCAGCAAAGACGCAGGAGCGCAGGCGGTCGTTGCGGTGCCAGAAGAGGTCAAAGAGCGTGCCACTGCGCGTGGCGAGTACTGGATAGTCTGATTGCAACGAAGCTGCTATGGCTGTAGGTGTGGAATTTGGTGGGGTGGGGTGGGATAGGGTGGGGTTGGGTGGAGTTCGGTGGGGTGGGTTGGGGAAGGATGAGTGAGGGGGTGGGTGGAGTTTGACAAGAAAGGGGACCGAGTGGTCCAACTGCAGCAATGCTGCTATGAGTGCGGTGGGATGGGGTGGGGTGGGCTGGGATGAGAGGGATGGGTTGGGGTGGGCTGGGGTGAGTGCAGGGAGAGTGTGTAGGGTGAGTGAGCAAAAGGTAGGGGTTTCAGAAGAAAAGGAACGGAGTGGTTGACAGCATGGATGTTGCTATGGCTGGACATGTGGGGTGCTGAATGCGCCTCCCCTTAACAGTCCCTCCTTCTCCACCCACCCGCCCACCCTCCTTCCTTTGACCCCCCTTGAAGCACTTACTTTGAACGTTCTGGTATCGCTCCAAAAAGTAGATGGGTCGCAGCATGGCAAACTTGCGCAGCAATTCAACGCCCGTCCCACTGCGCCCCTCACTCGCACTCCTCACTACCTCCACAGCCCCTTCCGCCCCCACATCCCCCATCAACCCTCTCCGCGCTCCCTTCGCCTCCCGGACTCCTGCTCCCTCTCTTGCCCCTTTACCTCTCCCGTCCCCTCCATACCCTGATCCTCCTCCCACGCTCATCCTCTCCCCTCCACCTCCCACTTCCCCATACTCGCCCTCCCCACCCCCACCATCTCCACCGCTCCCGTCCTCCTCCCCACCGCGATCCACCCCTCCGGGCTGCCCCACAGCATCGAAACTACACCCATACGCCTGGCACAGAAGGTCGTACACCCGCGCGTGCTCCCCCGCGTGCAGCCGCACCAGCCGCCGCCCCGCCAGGCTGGCGTATACGAACGCGGAGACGAACCCGCGCAGGGAGTTCCCGAGGCCGTGGCGCGGGAGGAAGGCGAGGAAACGCTCGTTGGGGCGGAGCAGGTCGAGCAGGGAGGTGACTGGCGGCCTGGGATGGGGGGATGGAAGGGGGGGAGGGGGAGGAAGAAGGACCATGGGAGAAGTGATGAGCTCCCAAGGCAGTGGCGCGGAAAAAACGCGAGGAAACGCTCGAAGGGGCGGAGGAGGTCGACCAGGGAGGTGACTCACATTCGCTCTGTGGATTCTCTGAACTCATCCGGCACGATGTCAGCACACAGCGCCTCCCCGCCCACGTCGATCCGCACGTCCTGCACGAATCGCGACTGCCACGGCCGCCGCAGAACCCCTCCCCCCGCGCCGTTCGTTCCGCCCAACCCTCCGCCCAACCGCTGCGCGCCGATCTCCCCTTTCGCCGTTCCCCGGAGCCCGTCCGCCGCTGCTAGCGCCATGATGCTTCTCCTACCTTCCTCGCTCAGAATCATGCTTCCGTCGCTGTTCCTCTCGTCCCCCCCGCTGCCGAGCCCCCCTCGGCCCGTCCGGATATCCGGCAGGTGCTGCCGCGTGGAGAGCAGCGATTGGACGGCGGAAGCGCGCGCGGCAGGGGACCAGAGGAACGGGTAATAGTGACCCGCGAAGTTGGAGCACAGGAAAAGGATGATAACGAGAAGAATGTTCTGTAAACGAGAGCCGACGCTGCTGCCGCTATTGCCGCCGCTCGCACCCGCGCGCCTCCATGGGCTACTAGGCCCTGGTGAAATTCCCCCAGAGGCGGAATCTCCCCCATATCCGCCGCCTTTGCGGCTCCGCGCACTCACACCCTTGCTGGTGCTGCTGCTGCTGGTGGTGGCAAAACCACCGGTATTCCCTATGACGCTGAATCCGCCTCGGTAATTGGTCCATCCGTGCGAAGGCGGCGGAATATGCGGCAAAAGTTCTGCCGCTCTCGACGCCGATGCGCGCGGATTGCCGAGGGGCGGGGAGCGCGGTGTGGGGGATGAGGGTGATCTTGCTGAAGGTGACTCGAACGAAGGACCGTCATCGTCGCTGAGGCTGGCCTTACTCTTAGGAAGCCTAGAGCCTGCGGACAATCGACCTCCGCGCGAAAGAGGAGATTTCGGGTTACCAGCTGTAACAGATTCGCTTGGTACTGCTCCTCCTGCTCCTCCTCCCTCTGCTGCTGGCCTCCCCGCGGAGCCCGCAGAACTGGAGAAGCGGCTAGAGAGCCATGAGGACTGCTTGCGATCTGAGCGGTTCGGCGGCGATCTTATGCGCAACGGCTGCGAGAACATTCAGTCTATCCGCCGAGTCGATGCTCTCACCGGCGAATTCGGCTTCCCGCGCACATTCGGATTTCTGAATATTCGTGAAAATCGCTCTCCTAGATTCAGCGGGTGGGTGGTCTTAGAGTAATGACTGGTTATCCGCCAGTTCTGACGGTTATCTGACAATCCTAACGTCGGCTGTGAATGATCTGACGTCTCTACAACAGTCCGCTACTTCTAACGCTGATTTGGGCGGTACCAAGATGCAGAAGAAATGCCTTCATTCAACGCAACGAGTAAGTGCTTCACTGTCACGTCGAGCCTGCGATCATGACCTAGACTCCAACAGAACGGCTTCAATACAGTACGCTCCAATATGAGAGGTTCGGTCTACGAAATCATGTTCAAACAACACGGATCGGCTTTGGCCACGACGAGAAAGCGGCAAAGAGAATGACAACTGAGGAACCGACGGCAATGGGGGGTAATGAGGGACGAGGTGTGGTGGTGGTGAGGTGAACCAGCATGAGAAAGCAGAAATGGAGGGGGGTGCCAGGGGAGCAGGAAAGAAGCTTGACGAACACACGTGACATGCCCCTGGTGACCGTCACGCATCCCCCAGTCCCAGGCAAAACTGTACTTTGGAGTTTGCCTACTAGTGTTCTGGGGGAACAGAGTCTCAAGCAACATCTTGGGAATTCACAAACTTTTGGGACCTGAACTTGAATTTCAGGGTCGTCAGGTCTGCAGCCAGTGAAACCATTCAATGGTGCGGATCTGTGTGCCTCGGAAATGAAGGAACGCAGCTTCGGGATCTCCAAGGGAGGTGTACCACCTCCCTCCCTCCCCTTCTCTTTTTCTCCTGCGCTTCTCTCCTTATCACCCTCCCTGTACTATTTTCCCCTTCTGGGTGTACGGAAGGTACATCCTAACGGGTTTCTCTCCGATTTTGAGTTATCATGTTGCTAAAATGCCCTTGGCTTTTGACAAAACACCTAACCACAAAGCTTGGCTTTTGATAAAACTCCTGCACAACAGAAACTTATGTCCCTATCAATAAGTGCTAGCATACCTACTAGTAACCTCATTCATCATCCCTCCCTGGCTACACTTGTTAAGGTGTCAAGTGAACACGTACCATGGGTTTCTAATTTTACCTTAACCAGACTGGTGATTCTGAGCAGTTGACGCTGTATAGATAAGCTCTTCTTTGTAAGCCCTCCGCCCGTTGATGCTTCACTCCCTCCATTCCTTCCACTGCCACCCCCCTTAGCTGCAACCGCTCACCACTACTCTTACCCCCCATTGCCTGGCTGCCCAGGAAATAGACCGTTTGTTGTCGGGGGGTTGGGTGTCCTTGTCCCACTGTCCATCTTCCCGTGCGGTTGGAGACCTTTTTTAGGACTACTACTGGTACTCTTACCACCATTATTTGGCTTCCCAGGCACAGGAGTGCCTGTCTTTGGAGGGGCAGCTGTCTTGGTCCCATTCTTCGGCTTTCCAGGAAAGAGCGGGGTATTGTTTGGAGGGCTAGTAGCCCTATTCCCATTCTTGGGCGCCCCTGGAGCAGGAGAGGTCTTTTTTCGGGGGTATTGTTGGCTTTGTCCCATTATTCACCTTCCCTGAAGGAGGTAGGGGTTTCTTTGGACTCCCTTTATTCGGCTGCCCTGAAGGCGGAGGGATCCTCTTAAAATTCCCATTATTCGGCTGCCCAGAAGAGGGTGGACCCTTTTTCGGACTCCCATTATTCGGCTGCCCTGAACCAGGAGGAACCTTTTTAGGAGGACTAGCAGTCTTGGGAGAAGGGGCCTTGGGAGAAGGGGCCTTGGGGGAAGGGGCCTTGGGAGAAGGGGCCTTGGGGGAAGGGGCCTTGGGGGAAGGGGCCTTGGGGGAAGGGGCCTTGGGGGAAGGGGCCTTGGGAGAAGGCGTATTGGGAGGAGGCCTCGTCACGTTCTTGGGAGGGAGAAGTGTCCCGGACTTCCCCTCACTCTCCCCTCCGCCAGTCCACCCATTGTTCCCTCCTGTGCTGTTGCCCCCGCCCCCATTTCCCCCACCTCCGCCACCTACCCAACCGCCCCCAGTTCCCCCACCTCCCCCAGGTGAAAACTGCACCTGGCAGTCATAGTCCTTCCCTGCTACCCACCCCGCAGGGAGACACGGGAGGTAAGTCGGAACCTAAGAGGCGACTTGAGGTATGTTCGGTGTACCCACACGGCACCCCAGTCGTGCTCCATGGGCTTCCACGTGGCGGATCCTGCTTCTGCCACGTGGACGGATGCCAGGTCACCAGGGCCCGCCACGTTGCGCACGAGCAGGTTGATCCAGAAGTCAGAGCCGGTGGGCGTGAGGCGGATGTTGCGGTTGAAAGCACATGGAACCCTGCAGGGGTGTTGACAAGCAACAAGGGGAAACAATGGGGTGGAATGTGGTGGTGATGGGTGGAAATGGGGTGGTCATAGGGCAGAAGTTGGAGCTGGTGGGTGTGCGGGAAATGTTGCGGTTGAAAGCACATGGAACCCTGCAGGGGTGTTGACAAGCAACAAGGGGAAACAATGGGGTGGAATGCGGTGGTGATGGGTGGAAATGGGGTGGTCATAGGGCAGAAGTTGGAGCTGGTGGGTGTGCGGGAAATGTTGCGGTTGAAAGCACATGGAACCCTGCAGGGGTGTTGACAAGCAACAAGGGGAAACAATGGGGTGGAAACCGGTGGTGATGGATGGAAATGGGGTGGTCATAGGGCAGAAGTTGGAGCTGGTGGGTGTGCGGGAAATGTTGCGGTTGAAAGCACATGGAACCCTGCAGGTGTGTTGACAAGCAACAAGGGGAAACAATGGGGTGGAATCCGGTGGTGATGGATGGAAATGGGGTGGTCATAGGGCAGAAGTTGGAGCTGGTGGGTGTGCGGGAAATGTTGTAGTTGAAAGCACATGGCACCATGCATGGCAATGGGGTGGTCATTGGTTTTATATGGGGTGGAATGGGGTGGCGATAGAGTGGATATCAGCAGGTCGATGTGCACACACAGGGGAGAGCACTGGCCTATTGCATGGGTTTGCTACTAACTACACCAGATGCGCTAGTGGTAGTCGCAGAGGGGTTACATGGGGAGCTGGTTACCCCGATGGGTGGTTACCTGGTATACACGAGGGGTATGTGCCCCGCGACTTGCTCCGCAATGAGGTTGAATGCGGCCATATTCAAGTCGAAGTGCACACACGTGGGGCAGCACCATCCCCCTCCTGCAGGGCACTGGTCCGTGATGGTCACCGTGACGCTCACGGCCTTCCTGCAATACGAGCTGTCCACACACCAGACTCTGCCATTGGGAATAAGAGGGGTGTGCATAGGTTTTTAATGTATGGTCACTGGCAAGAAGGGGATGTGTTAAGCCGAGATGGTCACTGTGATGCCGCCCACACGCATCTTGTAATAGGGACCCTTCAGCACCCCTTCAGCACCCCTTCAGCAACCCTTTGCTAAATTAACCACGCCTCGCCTCTGACCTGTAACAGGGCATTCGGCCTGTAGCATTGACCCCACCTATAGCACGGATGTATCACCAATCTCACCTGTAGCAGCTGCCACATCCGTGGCCGTCTTTGTAAAGCATCACACTGCCGGCTGTGGTCAAGGGGCCATACCCCGCCGCCAGAATGCTGCCGAAGCCGCAATTGCCACCTGCACGCAGCATTAGCGATTGAGAGAAATATGGGCCATTGAGAGACAAATGGTAGCATGTTTGAGGCGTCTCAAAACTCGGCCCCGCGGACAAGGGGCCGTACCCCGCTGCCAGAATGTTGCCGAAGCTGCAATTGCCGCCTGCACGCACCACAGGGCAACAGAAGCACTCCTCTTGTTTTTTTACAACCCGCGAGACGTACCGTCGAGTCCGCCGCCATAATACGGGGGAAGCTGCAGAGACACTACGTAACACGTAACGTCATTCCTCATACTCTCTTTCTTCGCTCCTCTTTCTTTCAGCCCAGCACACGCACCGTCGAGCCCGCCGCCATAGTAATTGGGATGCTGAAAAGGCATTCTCCTGAAAAGGCATTCTCCTCGCATTCCTTGCACACGTACCGTCGTGTGTGAGTAAAAATGCCACACACAGGTTCCTTGCACACGTACCGTCTAATCCGCCGCCGTAGTAAGTGGCCGTGGCTTTCCCCGTGAACCCGAACCCCTGCGATCCCGTGCCGGCCGCCGTCACGAGCTCCTGTATCGACGCGTCGGCGCGCAGCGACACGTGCGCGAGCGCCACAAAAACGAGGGCTGCTACACGCGCCGTCGTCGAACAAGCTGGATGCGACGGGGAGACCGAATGCCGCGGCATTGCGAGGCTTCTCGCTGATTTGTAAAAGAAGTGAGTCGAACAGCGCGGCCGTTAAAACGTAAAGCTATGATCAACGGCGCGGGGTGGATCGTAGCTCGTGAGCTTCAGAGAAAGATCTCTTCGAGACGGATTGTGTGATTTCCAAACGGTGAGCCGACCCTCGTTGATCGAAGTCGCCTCAACCAGAAATCATCGTAGTGATTCACAATAGCCTTTCCCAGGTCCTACATTACCAACAAAAGCGTCTGATCGGTCTGTTTGCGGCTGTTCGAGCGCGGTGCGGTTTGGTCTAGCTAATTCGGCCGAAAAGCTTCTATGCAATGTACGTAGCTTCAAGAGCAATACGGCACTCGCAGTGGCACCCTGTCTTGTGCAGTAGTGTCACATCGTCGCCTTCCCTCCTGCCTTCGATAATAGCCCCTACTTTCCCAGGGTTTGCTGATGAACCCTGTGTTTGTCCGATAAGTAAGGTTGAGATAGTTCGCACACGGTTCAAACGATTTGGGAGGCATTTCGAACGGTTGAAGGACAAACCATAAAGGGTGAGATCAGCAAACCCCGGTATAACGATTGACCAAATGCAGGTTTCGAAGCGCGCAATCAGGCGAGTCGCGCGAGGTAGGGGCTAGTGTAGGGCGCTGGTTCGTGTCACCTTTGCACTGACTGGAATGTAGGGGCCAACGAAGAGCGTTTATTGGTCAATTTACGTCGCAAAGGCCGCGCGTTGCGATGAGGCGGCCGGCGTGATCAACGCCTTCACGTCGCCCATCTGAAGGCGAACGATCCCACGAAAATGTGCGACTGTGTGCGATCAGACTGGGGCGGGTGCGACTCTGCTCACCATGAATGCGTTTCACCTGAACCTTTTCACTGTTGCGCAGTGGTGGAAAGAAACCTGGGAATGGACTCAGGAAAAATCAAGAACCGCCATCTTGTTGGTGGAGGACAATATTCGCTTTACAGTATCGCCATAACAATTTCTTGCATCCACTAGGTTATGTACAGGCCAATCAAGCTCATGTCTAAATTAGTGCACTGTCCTCCAAGCGATAAAAATACACTCGAGTGGACTGCGTTCAAAAGCGTAAGCAATATCCATTATCACTTGACACCATCTGTGACCAAGGCAGCAGGTCTTTTGTCTATCACCTCGTCTATAAGCCCAAACGAGAGTGCTTCTGTAGGGCTCATGAAGCGGTCCCTCTCCATACTCTCAGCTGAAACGTGAGATAAAGCAGGTTACACGACACAGGCACCGGAAAGAGACAAAAAAAGGGGGAAATTGGCAACAGCCAAGTGGCAAGCGCCATCAAAACAAGCGTAGGCAACAGAAGGAGAAGGTAACAGCAGAGCCTTCACTCACCAATCACATCAACCTCCTTCCCTGTGTGCTTGGCATACAGCACGTTCAGCCGGCCCTTAGTCTTGATAATCTCCTCTGCATGGATGGCAATATCCGTGGCCTGACCCTGAGCGCCCCCTGACGGCTGGTGCACCATGAGCCGTGCGTTGGGTAGGGACCGCCTCTGCCCCGCCTCCCCTGCTGCGAGCAGCAGCGTGGCCATGGAGGCTGCTTGGCCCACACAGAGGGTGCTCACTGGACACTGGATGTACTGGTGGGTGGGGAGGGCAGGAAGGGGGGGCAACAGAAGAGCAGCACATAGAGTGTTGGGTGCTGCATATAATTTCCAGAGTCGCCTGCTGCGAGCAGCAGCGTGGCCATAGAAGCTGCTTGGCCCACGCATAGGGTGCTCACTGGACACTGGACGTACTGGTTGGGAGGGGGGGGGGGGGGGGGGGGGGGGGGGGGGGGGGGGGGGGAAGGGGGGGGGGGGAATTTGAAGGACTGTTTAGAGGAGCCTAGGGGATTTTGGGCTGCCATGCCGCGATTAGCAAACAAGGCCATGAATGGTGTTGACCATACCACAGTCTGACCTGCACATTCACCTGACACCTGCACACTTACATGCACGCGTGCTCACCTGTACACTCCTTCGCATGCTCAGTGCTCACCTGTACACTCGCCTGCACACTCCCTGCGCATTCTCCTGAACACTCACCCGCATGCATACTCGCCTGCACTCACTTGAACATTCACCTGCACACTAACTCGCACACTCACCTGCATGGTGTCGTATATGGCAAGGCCTGCTGTCACCAGACCGCCAGGAGAATTTATGTACATGTACACCTGCGTGGAGAGGGGGGGGGGGGGGAAACGCGTTATAAGGCGTCTCGGAACAAGTTTATGTGCACGTACAGAGTGAAAATCACGTTCTTAAGGCTTGATCGACCAGCTCTTACAGGTTTCTCGGGGTGCTCTGATTCTAAATACAGTAACTGAGCCACCACCAGTGATGCCGTGTCGTCGCCTATCGCGCCGTTCACGCAAACGATCCGCTCCTTCAGCAGCCGCGAAAAGATGTCGAATGCGCGCTCGCCACGTGGCGTCTGCTCCACGACCATGGGGACTAGATTGTAGTGCCTAGGGCTCCCAGGAAAGCACGACACGTCAGTGCCAGGGGAGGTCGAGTGGGGGGAAATGACAGCTGGCATGGTGTGTTGGCAGCTCATGATTGGCCGACGTATGTGCCGCGTCGCTGCAGTCGCGAGAAGCGAAGCTAGGCGGCGCGATGCCATTGGAGAGATGGTCGACACTACTTTCTGGGCGATGATCTACGTCGCGCTGTTATCTGGGCGATGGTCGCGGCAGGCCGACTTGCGCTGATCAACGGTTGGATGCTCAGCAGCAGCGGCTCACCGTTTAGGCCGCGCTACGTGCTAGTAGCTTTCTTCGGCCGAAGGAGCAAAAATGGCGCATCCGAAAGATCATTGACATTTAAATATATAAACTGGGCGATTGTTGTTTCATTGCTCGAGGTTCGGATGACCTTATACAGGGTGAAATTGTGAAGGTTGGCTTGACAACATCCAGGGTCTTTTCTGGTTGGGGAAAACGCTGGAAAGTGTTTTTCACCGCTCTGAAACGAGACGAAACTACTCAGCCTTAAAGATAACTTCTGGAACATCTCCTCAGCTGTCAGGAAGATTTTTTTCTGGTGCTGTTCGCCAGCACCAATATAACTGAAAACGACGGGATAACAACGGGATCAGGAAGGTGGGTCTCGCCTTCCTGATCCCGTCAGTTAGAGTTCGTTAACCTCCGTCAGCTTGGTCAGCCCGTGAAAAATGTGCCGAGCCTCACCAACCGTCCAAACCAATTAACAAAGTGGGCGTCTGGCGAACGCCCACTTTTGTACACCGACTTTTACGTTTCGACGGCATGTAGAAGCGGGGACGAAACTTCCTCCCCAGGCAAAACACCATCCCGTTGCAATGCCATCGTCATGCTGCGTTTTTCGAAGCACAGCGGTGGCACAGCGGTGGCACCGCGGACGCATTGCTGTGCAGGGGAACCCTCGAACAAGCCTTCATTTTGACACAGGGGGGTTCGGAAAACCCTAAAGGTGTTTGTGGAGTGTGAGTTGTGTTTGGAACTGAGCGCGGGGTGGGGGGAGTTGTGTTTGAGCGGGGTGTGTTTTATTTGCGTTTTTTACCCACGTTGAGCATTTTTAGGTCAGCGGGCAGCAGGTGGGTCAGTGATGTGCAAATTTCGCGCCATTGGGGGGAAGGTGGGGATGGACCTTCCCGACGCGGTTGCGAAATTTCTACTTTTGGGCGCGCGTAGTTTCTCGGGCGGCATTTCGCCCAAACCTCGGAGGAGGGTTCCACCCCCGTTTCCATATGCGGTCACGATGCTGATGCCGTCGTTTTCAATTTAAAAAACGATGTGCTGGCGAACAGCACCTCTGGGTCTCTGGCAACCGTCGATTCTAAGGTTCACCTCTGCTTAGTCCTCAATCAGCAGGTCAACAACCCTAGTTTGACCTTTTTGAGTCTCTTATTGAAGTTCCGCGATCTTACATCGACTCGTTTCCTTCCCTTCATCACCTGCTATTCGAATCGCAAACATCTGTTGACCACATTACCTTCACGTGTCACGCGCCCGGCCGGGTAGGCCGCATCGCGCCATGAGCGCGTCGGCGATGGCGGCGGGTCAGCCGCAGTTCCGCTACTCGCAACCGCCGTCGAAGGTGCTGCATGTGCGCAACCTGCCGTGGGAGGCGACGGAGGAGGAACTCGCGGAGCTCTGCAAGCCCTTTGGCCGCGTCGTCAACACCAAGACCAGCGTCGGCGCCAACCGCAATCAAGCGTTCGTCGAATTCGTAAGTCTTTCGAGCTCGTATGTTGGTTGAATTGAAGGTGCTGCATGTGCGCAACCTCCCGTGGGAAGCCACGGAGGAGGAGTTATCAAAAAGCTCTGCAAGCCGTTCGGCCGCGTCGTCAATACCAAGACCAGCGTCGGCGCCAATCGTAACCAGGCGTTCGTCGAATTCGTAAGTTTGCTTAGTTCGTAATTCGTCGAGGACGTAAGTTGGTCCTGACAGCATCCCGTTTCCTCCTGACACCATTCCGTTTTTTCCCCGATAGCGTTCCGTTTCTTCCTGATAGCATTCCGTTTCGTCCTGATAGCATTCCGTTTTTTCCCCGATAGCGTTCCGTTTCTTCCTGATAGCATTCCGTTTCGTCCTGATAGCATTCCGTTTTTTTCCCGATAGCATTCCGTTTCTTCCTGATAGCATTCCGTTTCGTCCTGCTAGCATTCCGTTTTTTTCCGATAGCATTCCGTTTCGTCCTGATAGCATCGCGCTTCTTCTGATAGCATTCCGCTTCTTCCTGATAACATTCCGCTCCTCCTAACATCCTGCTTCTTCTTGGCATGGCAGCATTTTATTCTACCCAAGTGCAATCTTGCTGTTTCCAAATGGCAATTCGTTTCACCTATCTTCACCGTTTCCTTGCAGGCGGATATGAACCAAGCCATCGCCATGGTATCATACTACGCCTCATCATCCGAGCCAGCGCAGGTTCGGGGAAAGGCGGTGTACCTGCAGTACTCGACGCGGCAGGAGATCACCACATCCAACAAGACCGGCGATTCCTCCTCCGGGAATGTCCTGCTTGTGACTATAGAGGGGGTTGAGGCTGGCGACGTGACTATAGACGTGCTTCACCTGGTACGTGTGTGCTCATGTGGAATAAAGGCTGCGCGCGCGTGCGTTGGTGTTGAGGCTTGCAGGCAGATTTATCAGCATTGTGAGCTCGCTTAAAGTTACCTTCTTGTTCAGCGTGTCTCGTTCCTCCACGTCATCTTCGTCACCCCACTGCTCCTCCTCCTCCTCCTCCTCCTCCTCCTCCTCCTCCTCCTCCTCCTCCTCCTCCTCCTCCTCCTCCTCCTCCTCCTCCTCTTCCTCCTCCTCCTCCTCCTCCTCCTCCTCCTCCTTCCCCTTCCCCCCCTCCCTTTCCTACTCTCTCACCCCGCTTCCTGTAAGTCAAGCACGGATACCACAAGGCCCATATGACCCCACAAGGTTCGTTCTGTTTCTGAAAGGAAATAATGAGCCGCAAAAACCCTTTCTGTGTGCAGGCTATCTTTCCTCGTTGAAGTGAACGGCTCAGATCGTCCCTCGCACGAGCGATGCGAATCCGAGCAAGATCCGTTCTGATTTCACCGTTTGTTCTCATAACCTTTTCTGACCCGCCCACCCTTCTCACCCTTCTCGCTCTCCTCACCCTCCCTAAGCCTTTGCTCCAACCCCCCTCGTTCAACTCAACCCAACCCGACCCACCCAACCCAACCCAACCCAACTCAACCCAACCCCCATAATTTTTGTGCTGATCGGTTTCAGGGAGTCTGCTCCTCCGCTCGTCGTGCCGCTTGTAGCTGGGAAGCTTAGCACTGCTGATTTAGCAGCTTTTCCTATGTACCATACATGCTTGTGCATATGTGCCTTCTTGTTGCATGCTTTCCTAGGCTTATGTGATTGAATATTGCAGCTTTCTACGTTTTGGAAGCAATCTCGTTGTAGTTTGGTTTGCTCTGTTTTTCTTCGTTCTAACAGTTCTGTCTTTTTCCATACTCGCATTCAGCTACGTATGCTCCGGTTTGTCAAAATATTTAGTAGATATGAACTGCTTTGAATGGTGCGCATAATCCTAAGTCGGTGTTGGAAATTACATTGTTCCCCCTCTGTATCCTGCTGCAACCTCTCATGTGCGCGTCAAATCGCAGGTCTTCTCAGCATTTGGGTTCGTCCAGAAGATTGCAACCTTCGAAAAAAGTGCCGGCTTTCAGGTCTGTGACAAGGCTTAAAGCCCAGCAACATCTCTCAATCAATCTAAATTGGTCTTGTCAGGTCCAGACCAGAGGCCTTGGGGTCCACGGGCTGCCATGTAAGTAACCCTGTCGAATCAACCAACGTGGCATTGACCCACGTTTGGTTGTTGCCATTTTTCCTCCTCCCATGGCCCGTGCAGGCACTGGTGCAGTATGGCGACCCAGAGACTGCCAACAGCGCCAAGACCTCATTTTTTAGTCGAACTCAAAAGTCAACCAACGTGGCGTTGACCCACGTTTGGTTGTTCCCATTTTTCCTCCTCCCATGGCCCATGCAGGCACTGGTGCAATATGGCGACCCAGAGACTGCCAACAGCGCCAAGACCTCCTTGGACGGCAGGAGCATTCCCAGGTGGGTATTCTCAGAGCACCTTCACATGTTCATGCTACCTTCACATGTTCATGCTTCCTACCAGTCACAAAAATACGAACAAATAATTTTGTGAGAGATGAAAAGAAAAGCAGGTCTACCCTACCGGTCATCATTTTAAAATCTTATGCTTCCGCCCCCCCCCCCACCCTCTCACCCCCCTTATCCCCCAGCTATTTGCTCCCGGAGCACGTGCAGGCGTGCAGTCTGCGCATCTCCTTCTCAGCCCACACAGACCTCAACGTCAAGTTCCAGAGCCACCGCAGCCGCCTCTCACCCCACCTTGTTTGTGTGTGCATGCACCCCTCTCTCCCTTCCCACCAGCTATTTGCTCCCGGAGCACGTGCAGACATGCAGTCTGCGCATCTCCTTTTCGGCCCACACGGACCTCAACGTCAAGTTCCAGAGCCACCGCAGCCGCGACTACACCAACCCCTACCTCCCGGTTTCCTCCTCCGCCACCGATGCCGGCGTGCAGGTACCACTGACTGCCGTAAAACAAACGCCCTGTTTCCTGCATCTACAGTCCTCCTCCTCTACTGCTCTCTTGTGTTTTCCCAATTCTCCTTTCGCCCACACGTTCCTATTTGCTTTGCTTTGTTCTTATCAATGAAGGGCGAACCAGGCAGAAGGAGCGCTGCTGACTAGCCCATGGGCAATCAGTGCTGGACGTTTTCTCCCTTCTTTGTGTTGTTTCTCAACCCTGTGCCTTCACCAGCTCACCCCAGGGCCTGTAGCAGCGGTGAAGGGCGAAGCAGGAAGCAACGTGCTGCTGGCTTCTATTGAAAACATGCAGTACCCCGTCACCATGGACGTGCTCCACGCCGTGAGTCACCCCTGGTCACCGTTTGGCACCGCTTTTCACCATTGGTCAACCATGCACACCATGTGACACCGCATTGCACCCCATACCTTGACTGTTTGCTGCTGGCGAGCATGGAGAACATGCAGTACCCCATCACCATGGGCGTGCTCCACACCGTGAGACACCGCTTCCCACCGTGAGTCACCCCTGCATGCTGTCGTCATCTCATACTGTGTGACTTATTGCTGCTGCCGGTTTCCCGGTTTCCCGGTTTCCCGGTATCCCGGTTTCCCGGTATCCCGGTTTCCCGGTATCCCGGTATCCCGGTATCCCGGTATCCCGGTTTCCCGGTTTCCCGGTATCCCGGTTTCCCGGTTTCCCGGTATCCCGGTATCCCGGTATCCCGGTTTCCCCGTTTCCCGGTTTCCCGGTTTCCCGGTATCCCGGTATCCCGGTTTCCCGGTTTCCCGGTTTCCCGGTATCCCGGTTTCCCGGTTTCCCGGTTTCCCGGTTTCCCGGTTTCCCGGTTTCCCGGTTTCCCGGTATCCCGGTTTCCCCGTTTCCCGGTTTCCCGGTTTCCCGGTTTCCCGGTTTCCCGGTTTCCCGGTATCCCGGTTTCCCGGTTTCCCGGTTTCCCGGTTTCCCGGTATCCCGGTTTCCCGGTTTCCCGGTTTCCCGGTTTCCCGGTATCCCGGTTTCCCGGTTTCCCGGTTTCCCGGTTTCCCGGTTTCCCGGTTTCCCGGTTTCCCGGTTTCCCGGTTTCCCGGTATCCCGGTTTCCCGGTTTCCCGGTTTCCCGGTTTCCCGGTATCCCGGTTTCCCGGTTTCCCGGTTTCCCGGTTTCCCGGTATCCCCGTTTCCCGGTTTCCCGGTTTCCCGGTTTCCCGGTATCCCGGTATCCCGGTATCCCGGTTTCCCGGTATCCCGGTATCCCGGTTTCCCGGTTTCCCGGTTTCCCGGTATCCCCGTTTCCCGGTTTCCCGGTTTCCCGGTTTCCCGGTATCCCGGTTTCCCGGTTTCCCGGTTTCCCGGTTTCCCGGTATCCCGGTATCCCGGTATCCCGGTTTCCCGGTATCCCGGTTTCCCGGTTTCCCGGTTTCCCGGTTTCCCGGTTTCCCGGTTTCCCGGTTTCCCGGTTTCCCGGTATCCCGGTTTCCCGGTTTCCCGGTTTCCCGGTTTCCCGGTATCCCGGTATCCCGGTTTCCCGGTTTCCCGGTTTCCCGGTTTCCCGGTTTCCCGGTTTCCCGGTTTCCCGGTATCCCGGTATCCCGGTTTCCCGGTTTCCCGGTTTCCCGGTTTCCCGGTATCCCGGTATCCCGGTTTCCCGGTTTCCCGGTTTCCCGGTTTCCCGGTATCCCGGTTTCCCGGTTTCCCGGTATCCCGGTATCCCGCTTCCCGGTTTCCCGGTTTCCCGGTATCCCGGTATCCCGGTATCCCGGTTTCCCGGTTTCCCGGTATCCCGGTTTCCCGGTTTCCCGGTTTCCCGGTTTCCCGGTATCCCGGTTTCCCGGTATCCCGGTTTCCCGGTTTCCCGGTATCCCGGTTTCCCGGTTTCCCGGTTTCCCGGTTTCCCGGTTTCCCGGTTTCCCGGTTTCCCGGTTTCCCGGTATCCCGGTTTCCCGGCTTCCCGGTTTCCCGGTTTCCCGGTTTCCCGGTTTCCCGGTTTCCCGGTATCCCGGTTTCCCGGTTTCCCGGTTTCCCGGTTTCCCCGTTTCCCGGTTTCCCGGTTTCCCGGTTTCCCGGTTTCCCGGTATCCCGGTTTCCCGGTTTCCCGGTATCCCGGTTTCCCGGTTTCCCGGTTTCCCGGTTTCCCGGTTTCCCGGTTTCCCGGTTTCCCGGTTTCCCGGTTTCCCGGTTTCCCGGTTTCCCGGTTTCCCCGTTTCCCGGTTTCCCGGTTTCCCGGTTTCCCGGTTTCCCGGTTTCCCGGTTTCCCGGTTTCCCCGTTTCCCGGTTTCCCGGTTTCCCGGTTTCCCGGTTTCCCGGTTTCCCGGTTTCCCGGTTTCCCGGTTTCCCGGTTTCCCGGTTTCCCGGTTTCCCGGTTTCCCGGTTTCCCGGTTTCCCGGTTTCCCGGTTTCCCGGTTTCCCGGTTTCCCGGTTTCCCGGTTTCCCGGTTTCCCGGTTTCCCGGTTTCCCGGTATCCCGGTATCCCGGTATCCCGGTATCCCGGTTTCCCGGTTTCCCGGTTTCCCGGTTTCCCGGTTTCCCGGTTTGTCGGTATCCCGGTTTCCCGGTTTCCCGGTTTCCCGGTTTCCTGGTTTCCCGGTTTCCCTTTTTCCCGGTATCCCGGTATCCCGGTTTCCCGGTATCCCCGTTTCCCGGTTTCCCGGTTTCCCGGTTTCCCGGTTTCCCGGTTGCCCGGTTGCCCGGTTTCCCGGTTTCCCGGTTTCCCGGTATCCCGGTTTCCCGGTTTCCCGGTTTCCCGGTTTCCCGGTTTCCCGGTTTCCCGGTTTCCCGGTTTCCCGGTTTCCCGGTTTCCCGGTTTCCCGGTTTCCCGGTATCCCGGTATCCCGGTATCCCGGTATCCCGGTTTCCCGGTTTCACGGTTTCCCGGTTTCCCGGTTTCCGTTTCCGTTTCCCGGTTTCCCGGTTTCCCGGTTTCCCGGTTTCCCCGTTTCCCGGTTTCCCGGTTTCCCGGTATCCCGGTTTCCCTTTTTCCCGGTATCCCGGTTTCCCGGTTTCCCGGTTTCCCGGTTTCCCGGTTTCCCGGTTTCCCGGTTTCCCGGTTTCCCGGTTTCCCGGTTTCCCGGTTTCCCGGTTTCCCGGTTTCCCGGTATCCCGGTATCCCGGTTTCCCGGTTTCCCGGTTTCCCGGTTTCCCGGTTACCCGGTTACCCGGTTACCCGGTTACCCGTTACCCGGTTTCCCGGTTTCCCGGTTTCCCGGTTTCCCGGTTTCCCGGTTTCCCGGTTTCCCGGTTTCCCGGTATCCCGGTATCCCGGTATCCCGGTTTCCCGGTTTCCCGGTTTCCCGGTTTCCCGGTTTCCCGGTATCCCGGTATCCCGGTATCCCGGTTTCCCGGTTTCCCGGTTTCCCGGTTTCCCGGTTTCCCGGTTTCCCGGTTTCCCGGTTTCCCGGTTTCCCGGTTTCCCGGTTTCCCGGTTTCCCGGTTTCCCGGTATCCCGGTATCCCGGTTTCCCGGTTTCCCGGTTTCCCGGTTTCCCGGTTTCCCGGTTTCCCGGTTTCCCGGTTTCCCGGTTTCCCGGTTTCCCGGTATCCCGGTTTCCCTTTTTCCCGGTATCCCGGTTTCCCGGTTTCCCGGTTTCCCGGTTTCCCGGTTTCCCGGTTTCCCGGTTTCCCGGTTTCCCAGTTTCCCGGTTACCCGGTTACCCGGTTTAAGGTGGAAAAAAACGGTTGCGGTAAAAAACGATTGAAAAGAACGATCGTTTTTTACGGTCAAGTTTGGGAAAAAAACGTCGTTTTTTTGTTAGGCCCAAAAAAAAATTCTGAAAAAAATAAAGAAAAAAAACCTAACAAATCCTCAGGGACCAACACTCTCTGGCAAGTCAGTGTTGATAAGTGTCTAGCCTGATTGCAATTAAAATAAAATATAGAAAGGTCGTTACAGCTCATCACTCTCTATCTAACACCATCGATGTCACTAGGGTCCCATGCGTTGGACCCGCCCCCCTCCTCCTCCTCCTCCTCCTCCTCCTCCTCCTCCTCCTCCTCCTCATCGTCTTCGTCAGCCGAACGCTTCTTCTTAAGCTTCTTGGTCGCCTTTCCCTTGTTTCCCTTCGTCACCTCTTTCTTCTTCCTCTTTCCGATGCTGCCAAGAGCTTCCCAGTCAATCACGCAATCGACATCACCTTCTTCCTCTTCAACCCGTGGTTCAGAGCCTTCGGCCTGTGGTTCAGAGCTTTCGATTGCCGTCGTCGTCACACTTTCTAGAGTGCTCTCGTTGAGCTTGCCTGCTGCTAGGTCTGCAATAAGTTTGGCGCGCACTTCCTGCTTCTTGTCGAATGCAGCCCTCGAACGCCTACTGAATGCCACCGTGGTGACATCGATCATGGTCTGAGCGCTCAGCCTGTTGCGGTCACGCCGCTGCACCCTTGCCATCGCAGACCAGCACCTCTCAACTTCCGACGCAGTGATAGGCTGTGATAACATTCTCACAGCCAAATCCTGCAGCTCGGGGAGTTCCCCTCCATACATCGCCCACCAATCCGCATGTGAGAGACGTCCACTCTCCACGAGCATCGCTGCGGCCCGTGCATCTTCCCCCCCCAGACGACCCTCACCTCTGTGGTACGTAGCAAGCTGGGCTTGCAACAAGATACGGCCTTGCACGTCACCTCCTCGTGCCTGCAGCACGGCATTGACCCCTTTGATGATCTCGGGGTCATTGCGGACTTCAATCGCAAGCTGGTTCTTCGGGTTAAGGAGCCAGCCGAATGCATGCATCGGGTTGTGCAACTGCTTATCCCATCTGCGCCCGATGATGCCCTTGATGGCCGCCAAAAACTTCGACCTCTCCTTCCCGGCGAGCACTTGGCTGTGACGCCTGAAGAATGTCGCTGCAAAGAAAGACATAATACAATTAGGGCACGAATCTGGTTTAGGGTAAGACGGAACTTGTAATGGGTGTGCAACACTGTTTACCTGCTCCCTCTGCCGCCTCATTGACCGCCACGGTCGCCTCGAGCATCATCCCATAGATAGATCCCATCACAAGAGCTCTTGTGTCGACTGCTCGTAGCACATTGTAGATCGGCATCATCAGTTTCTGCACTGATTTGACCGATTCCCAGAAGATATCATCCAGAAGGAGTTTCCGGATTTTCTTCGCATCTTCGGTCTTAGACACTGCCACCTCCTTCCATTGGTCACTGATGACCAGCTGTCGAAGCTGTTCCTTGACCTCCAAGAACCGGGTGACCATGATCACCTGCGTGCCAAATCTGGTGGTACCTGGCCGAACAAGCTCAAGCTTGCTGAAGATCGTGCGGAAAAGGGCAACAGCGCTCGCACTTCCCTTGACCATCATCACGATGCGATGGACCTGGGTGAGAACTTTCTTCACAATGCCGATCTTACCCATGTCGTGGAGCATGAGATCGAGACAATGGGCAGCACAGTTGGTGAAGAAAATCGACGGGTAACCCTCACTGAGAATTGCGGCAGCACTCTTGTTATTACTTGCGTTGTCCATGACCACCTGAATCACCTTGTTGTCCCCCACCTTCACGATTGACGTCCTGATGAGATCAGACAGGTATGAACCTGTCTTCTTCGACAGCTTGGAATCGACAATGTTGACAATCACTGGTGCAGTGTCGCTGTGCGCCAGCACACACACCAAGCCGCGACTCTTCAAGCACGACCATCCGTCGACTGAGATGGTGCACGACGTCGTTGCCCAAGAATCTGTCAAGGGCCGTACGAGTTCTTCCGTCTCTGTCTTCAATCTGGCGAGCAATGGGCCCGCGACTTTGTAGGCAGACGGGAGTGTGTAGGGTCTCCTAAAACTCACTAACGCGTTCAGAAAGTTCTGGACCGCAACAGATCTGTGGGGTGTGGTATGAATGCCAGCAAAGCATAATATTAACAAGGTGAGGAGGAGCGTTGCAGCAGCAGCCAAATCATGATGGGCACGAGGGAAGATGGGGAGGGAAGATGTCCATGGAAGAAACATGGCACAAGGGTTAAGCGTTTCCACTCACTCAGAGACCCGAAACGCCCAATCATTCTCTGCCACCGCAGTCACCCAGAGCAGATCGAGCTGCTCACGGCCCTTTTCGTCCGTGACATCACGGATGTCGAGCTGGCGACCCTTCTTAGGGCCGTTCCCCACCAAGGATGTTGAGCTGCTCGAATTGCCCGTAGACGTTGCAGTCTTGAGGCGGAGATTCACCGCAAAGTCAGACTTACAGACCCCTATATTTTTCGGCTGACCTTTCTCGACCCCTAAAATGTGGTCTCTGATTCGTGTAGCGCTTGCAGGAATGACAGTGGGTTTGTCCTTAGGGCAGTGAATGCACACATAGCCGACTTTCCCGTCGTTGTCAGTTACCTCCTTCACGTGGTCCCACATTTCAGACCGTGCTCTAGGCATTGTGGATGAAAAACGGGCCTACTCGAACAAGAACTAGCTAGAATGGACGTGGAGTGCTGAAGACAATGGTGTGGTGGCTACTAATAACAACAGATATCGTCCGTCGGCAAAAGGCTTGCAGCTTTGCTGGGAGTATGCGTTCACGCCGGGCGTTGGATACTATCAGAGAGACTGGGCGTGCTTCGCGCTAGTCCCGTGGAATTCGTGTCGGACACCACGAATTCAGAATTTGCGTTACGGGAAGTGAAAGTGGGTAAGATGTGGCAACACTTGGAAGTCACGTCGCAGGCCCAAATGTTAAAGTTTCGCTGACGTGCAGCAACAAAATAACGTGTCGCAAATGCAACTGTAATTCTTCGCAGCGCTGCATTCATACGTGCGCTGACGCTTTTATGACGCGCGCGAAAAAAGCGAGAGCAAACTTTCCGATGCGAAACATTTTTCACGTCGCAACCAACCCTAGCATGACGAATTGATGCGTGCGTCAATTACCTGCGGTTCGAGGAACAAACAGAAGCAATTTGGGTGTACAACTTGGCACGTCGCGTCGCAGGTCTTGACATTCGTGTTTCGCACATGCACGAAATCATTTTTAAGGGTGCACGAAGTGGCCTCGAGGCTTTGCGAAATCAGCGAGAGCAGGGAAGCGAAGTGTTGGCATGCCGCGCCTCGAAGGTGGGTCCCAATTTTTGCATGTCGCGCCTCGAACGTGGGTCTAAATTTCTGACCCACGATTCCTCTCTGTACTGGGTGGGTTCACTTGAACCCACATGCATGTGCTCCCTCATGAATCCTCCCGCTACCTCTCCCCTTGTGTTGCTTGTGTATACAGTGAAACCCTTCTCTGCGAGTTGTGCGTTATCCGGAGATAATCGTAACTGTAAATTGTGGTACAAAAAAACGATCGAAAAAAACGATCGTTTTTTTCCACGGAAAAAGGACTAAACAATATTCTCGTTTTATTCCGTTTTATACGATCGTAAATTACGATATCGAAAAAAACGACAAAAAAAAAAAAGAAAAAAACGTCGTTTTTTTGCACCTTGCCCGGTTGCCCGGTTGCCCGGTTTCCCGGTTTCCCGGTTTCCCGGTTTCCCGGTATCCCGGTATCCCGGTTTCCCGGTATCCCGGTTTCCCGGTTTCCCGGTTTCCCGGTTTCCCGGTATCCCGGTATCCCGGTATCCCGGTTTCCCGGTTTCCCGGTTTCCCGGTTTCCCGGTTTCCCGGTTTCCCGGTTTCCCGGTTTCCCGGTTGCCCGGTTTCCCGGTTTCCCGGTTTCCCGGCTTCCCGGTTTCCCGGTTTCCCGGTTTCCCGGTTTCCCGGTTTCCCGGTTTCCCGGTTTCCCGGTTTCCCGGTTTCCCGGTTTCCCGGTTTCCCGGTTTCCCGGTTTCCCGGTTTCCCGGTTTCCCGGTTTCCCGGTTTCCCGGCTTCCCGGCTTCCCGGCTTCCCGGCTTCCCGGCTTCCCGGTTTCCCGGTATCCCGGTTTCCCGGTTTCCCGGTTTCCCGGTTTCCCGGTTTCCCGGTTTCCCGGTTTCCCGGTATCCCGGTATCCCGGTTTCCCGGTTTCCCGGTTTCCCGGTATCCCGGTATCCCGGTATCCCGGTTTCCCGGTTTCCCGGTTTCCCGGTTTCCCGGTTTCCCGGTTTCCCGGTTTCCCGGTTTCCCGGTTTCCCGGTATCCCGGTATCCCGGTATCCCGGTTTCCCGGTTTCCCGGTTTCCCGGTTTCCCGGTATCCCGGTATCCCGGTATCCCGGTTTCCCGGTTTCCCGGTTTCCCGGTTTCCCGGTTTCCCGGTATCCCGGTTTCCCGGTTTCCCGGTTTCCCGGTTTCCCGGTTTCCCGGTTTCCCGGTTTCCCGGTTTCCCGGTTTCCCGGTTTCCCGGTTTCCCGGTTTCCCGGTTTCCCGGTATCCCGGTATCCCGGTTTCCCGGTTTCCCGGTTTCCCGGTTTCCCGGTTTCCCGGTATCCCGGTATCCCGGTATCCCGGTATCCCGGTATCCCGGTTTCCCGGTTTCCCGGTTTCCCGGTATCCCGGTATCCCGGTTTCCCGGTATCCCGGTTTCCCGGTTTCCCGGTTTCCCGGTTTCCCGGTATCCCGGTTTCCCGGTTTCCCGGTTTCCCGGTATCCCGGTTTCCCGGTTTCCCGGTTTCCCGGTATCCCAGTATCCCGGCTTCCCGGTTTCCCGGAGACGCGGCGTTCATCAGTATTAAGTCACCATGGACGTGCTCCACACCGTGAGTCACCCATCCCACTGTGGATCACTGTTTTACACCGTCATGAGTTAACCCTGCTGCCGTGCACACTGTTGACGATTGATATACCAGCCCACTGTTCTCGTTCCCACTGAAGAGCCGAAGCACAGTCATAGTAGCATGTTGTCCCCCCATGAGTGCGAGCTGTGTTTCCATCTTCCTACTCTTTACTCTCCCTCCCACTCCTACTCTCTCTCCCACTCTTTCGACTCTCCTTCCCACTCCTCCTCTTCCTCCCACTGTTTCAGTCCCAGTTTTCCAGCCATTTCTCATTCTCTCTTCTGTCTCAATTCTTGACATATGCTTTGGTGCAAGTATCACTCCATCCCACTGTGTCATTCTCTTTCTCTGCGTGCCAACAGGTCTTCTCAGCATATGGCGTGGTGCACAAGATTGCCATCTTTGAGAAGAGTGCTGGATTCCAGGCGCTTGTCCAGTTCCCAGGTTCGTTCCCTGGCTAAATTGCAGGTTACTGCAAAGTTTTTTTTTTTTTTTTTTTTGGCTGGCACATCGCTTCTTGGTAACGCTCTGCACATGTGTGTGTGTGTGTGACACACCACAGCCATCCCATCCCTCTCTCATCCATTCTTCCGTTCTTTCACCCCTCCATTCCGCAGACATAGCAGCGGCCACATCAGCCAAGGATGCTCTGGAGGGGCACTGCATCTACGAGGGGGGCTACTGCAAGCTGCGCATCTCCTTTTCCCGCCACACCGACCTTAATGTCAAGGTGAGGTGTGGTGAGGCGCGGTGGTGAGGAGTGAGGCAAAGCAAGGTACGTAGTTGGCTCTCAGTGCGTGTACTACGAGCTGCGCATCTCCTGCTCACGCCCTCGTCAATCTCTTGTCCCTCTCGTCCCTCTCGTTGTCCTGCCTTTACCCCTTCAATCCCCCCCTCCTTCTCAGGCCAACAACGATCGCAGCAGGGACTTCACTCGCCCAGACCTGCCCACAGTCGCCCCCATCCCTGCTCCCTCCACCACCGCCACTACCACAGCCGGTATCCTCTCTCCTAACATCAGTACCACCGCCGCTGCCGCCACCCCCATCACCACGTCCTCCCCACCCATCCTCTCCTCCTCCCCATACTCCCCCGCTGCCCCTCTCGCCCCCTCTACCGCCCCACCTGTCCTCCCCACTCCTGGTGCCCCTGCACCCTACTACCCCCCCGCCCCCTCCCCTGCCGCCCCACCCTCCTCTGCGCCGCCCATTCTTGCCCACCACAACCGCCCAGCAGCCTATCCTGCCACCCCTCCCAGAGGGCCCCCTCCCCATGCTCCTCCTCCCCATAGCCCTCCTTTCCACGGTCCCCCTCCCCCCCACGCCGGCCCTCCCCACGGTCCCCCTCCCCACGGTCCCCCTCCCCATACTCCCCCTCCCTACAATCGAGGTCCCCCTCCTGGTCCCCCTCCCCACAGCACCCCGCCCAGAAACTTCCCCCCCAGCCCTTATGGCCCCCCCGGTCCCCCCCAAGGGTCCCCCCAAGGCCCCCCTTTCCGCGGCCCTCCCCCTCCCGGGCCTTACCCTCCCGGACCTCCTGGTGGGCCTCCTCCCGGACCAGGTGGTCCGGGGCCTGCCGGGCCTCCGTACGGACCTCCTAGGCCCGGTGGTCCAACCCCGGGGCAGTTTTACCCTCCCCCTGGTGGGCCTCCCCCATATGGCCCTCCCCGTGGTCCCCCTCCCCCGATGCCTGGGCGTGGTCCCCCTCCCCCTATGATGGGGGGACCCCCTCCCCCAGGTGGCCCTCCCCCTGGCCCTCCTCCCCCTGGGCGCCCCCCCCCACAGCCATTCCCCCCAGGCGCTGGTCCCCCTCCCCCCGGCATGGGGGGAGGCCCCCCTCCCCCTGGAATGCCCCCTCCTCCATACATGGGGGGAGGGGGCCCTCCCCCTGGTCCCCCAGGTATGCCTCCCCCTCCTGGCATGGCAGGGGGGCCTCCCCCTCCTGGGTATCCAGGGGGACCGCCTCCCCCAGGTATGCCTCCCCCTGGTGGCCCGCCAGGGATGCCACCTCCACCTGGATATGGTCCACCTCCCCCTAGATATGGACCAGGAGGACCGCCTCCTCCCGGGTACAGATATTAGTATCTAGAGACGAAAGCGGCATTGCTCGACAAGCAGCACATGTAGCTAGATTTCTTGCTTATACAACTTTCTTTGTTTAGCTCGTATATGATTTTACTGGTGGTATCCCAGTGTGTGACAATGCTCTGATGCATTGAGAAAACTGGATGTATTTCCAAATGAACATAGATTGTAACATGATGGGAACTCTTATGTTATAAGCGTACGAATAGCATCCTTTAGTGAACGATTTTTTCCTCAGGGCCACGTCTTGGTGACGTGTATACCCCATCCACCCAGCGCATTCTTGGCGACCAAAATGTTTTGATTTCGACAGGCAAGGTGCCAGCTGGGCAAGTAAGAGCCCTGCTGGCAGACAATTCAGCAGTTTCGAGAGTACCCGGGGTGTTCAAACAAATGGTGGGCAAAACGGCATACTCTAAAATGATTTAAACGTATTGTATTTGGTATAAACCAACGTCAATCTCATTCCAAACAAAATACCGACATCATCCTTTTGAGATTTACCTGTCTGTACTTTCCTGCCCCAAAGCTCCACAACATCGCACAAACTCGCGACAACGTGTCATCTGCGGTGGCCAGGTAGGATTCAAAATTTCCCTTCCGCAATCAGCGCATTTCGCTCCTCATCAAACGCGGTTACGCCGTGCAACAAGCATATCCTCAATCGATGAGTGTATTTCTTGGTTGCAGTCGAGGCGACGACCTGAAGAACGGCTCCCATTTGTTGAAAGCATCAGTTTCTCTCAGTGCTCCCATTCTCGTGCTCGGTAGCTAGTGTCGCATCGAATCTGTCTTTCGATAGTGTCATTCCGCTGTCATTGTGCTACATTTTCTCGTCAGGAATTACGAGTCTCGAATTAACAGGTACAATAAATTCCTCTCATATCATCAATTCTAGTTTATCTCCATTCTTAAGCCGAAGCGCCACCTCGAACGCCATGGCGCTGTGTTCGTGTCCCAAGGCGCTGACGAGTATGGTCGTGTACGCGGACGAGAATTCCGGCCACGTGCACCTCTGCCTACCGTTCTACGTTGACGTCTGCGGCGAGTGCCACCTCTCGCTATATCGCGGATGCTGCTGCAGCGGCGCGCGCACGCTACACAACCACCCCGCGGAGATTCAGGAGCGGCGCGAGCTGATGGCGAAGGTAATGGCGGAGCTGATGGCGCGCGCGCAGAAGCGGCGAAAGATGAAAGCGCGCGAGGCGATCGCCAAGATGCAGGCGGCTAAGGAGGCCAGAATCCAACACGTGGACAAAGGTACGACCATTGATAGTTAATCAAAATTCAAGGTGTGGTACGTTAAGATGCGAATGCAATTCGTCAATTGATTTTCACGAGGTTTGACGTATACACATATCATAGCCTTTTTTAAACCGTTATGTTGGATTGTTATTTAGAACGGGCGTGTTGGCTGGAGGAATCTGGACCTTCGTTTGTCCTGACGTCTTCATCAAATTCCTTTAAGCTCAGAGATTTATGTCTCGTGGCTGGTCCAATCTTCGTTTCTCCCTTCCCCACGCTGCCAATGCCAGACTCGTTGATGCGGGCTCTCTCAAAGGGCGACGAATATCCGCCCACCAAGGCGCATGCTGTTCACCCCCACACGGTACGCCCTATCTCAAGCCAGCCATGCGCTTTAACCGTCCCACTCTTGCCCGCCATTTTTTTCCGCCACGTGCGTTGTTTCACTCTGCCTTACCCTCCTCTTCTCCCACCCAACCTGCCGCTTCTCTGTCCCACCCGCCGCTTTCGCCCATCCTTATCTGCCTTATCTTTCACCCACCCCCTACCCACCTGCCGTGCCTTCCTGAGGTGCAGCCGAGGGAGGTGGTGACGCGCTGCTGGTCGCCCGCCATGGAGTGCAGGGCGCAGCGCATGCGCGTGCAGCAGCCACGTGCCGTGCACTGATTGGCCTCACCTGTTGAAATTCCTGACATATTCTATAGAAGCTCTTAGCCACCATTGATACTGCTTGGTGTGGGTGTTGCATGTGTAAAACTTTTCCTGTACATACTGTAGTGGTGCATGTGCTACCTTCACCAACCCATGGCACTTGTAAACTGCTGTAGTAATTTGTGAAAACGGTTCAAAACGCACTATCCATTTCTTTCGTACACTATCTTCTACTCTGCGTCCCTGAATTCCTTATAACGCAGGTAATTAGTGGGTTATGCACTGAAACATGGACAACCGAATGCACTCTCATACAAACACACATGATCATGTGCCTCACTGAACCACGCATACAGTACGACACCCATAGCAAGGAAAACAAAACAATGAATCATCCCATAGCAAGGAAAACAATGACAATGAATCATCCCATAGCCCTTCAGGACAAGGCAAACGAGTCCAGGATGTGTTTCAGCAGCGGCCTGCCATCAAAGAAAAAGGCCTCCGTGCCCCTCACCCTGCAAACATGCACAGCACCGTTTGATACCCCTGCACACAGCAGCAGGTGCTGAATATCCGCCTTGTGATCCCCCAAGTCCTCCGGATGAACCACCAGCTCATACCGGAAAAACTTCCCCCCAGCAGAAATTAATTCTTCTGCCCAGATGACAAATGCTGGGGCTGCTCGGGCAGCATGAGAAGTTTGTGAGCGTGCCCGAGCAAGGCTGGGCATGGACGGGAGGGCAGCCTGGGAGGTCTGCTCTCGACCACTCGCCCCAGAAGGGACGCTTCTCTGACTGGAAGATTGAGAGAGCCGATCTCTTCCTGAGCCTTGCCGTTGGGAGGGGGATTGGTGGGATGGGTGAGAGGATGATGGGTCGGTGGGTGGTGATGTGGGGCTTCCAAAGATAGAAGAGAACGTTGCTTCGCCTCTGATGTGGCTGCCACTCTCGACAGTGTCTGTAACTGAATCAACAGCAGCAGCAGCAGCAGCAGCAGCAGCACCAGCAGCACCAGCAGTGGTAGCAGCAGTAGCAGCACCCATAGCCGCAGCTGCAGTGGCACTAGTGGTAGCAGAAGAGGGGGCAGCAGGGGGCGGCTGGAACGGCGCAGCAACTGATGCTGCTTCAGGCAACGAGAACGAGACAGACCTCTTAACCCCTTCAGCCAAAACCAGAGGCTTACTAGTGCCTGCACCACCAGCCTTGCTGCTGCTTCTGCTGCTGCCCGCACCACTGCTGCTACCAACCTTGCTGCTCACACTCACGCCAGCGGCAAGCTCCGGGCAGATATTATCCCACTCGGTCAGCAGAAAATTCATCGGGTCGCCGAATTCGGTCAGCGACAAAATTCCGGACGGGCGGACCGAGAAACAGATCACGTCGAGCTCTGCTACAGGATCGCCGTCTATAGTCACATCCGAGTCACTAAACTTCACCAGCACATGGTCTTCAAACGCGGATGGAAGCTCCTCTATCCAGTTTCTCGGCACACTTAGTGAAAATCCAACTCCTCGGTAGAAAAAGCAGGGGATTCCCTCCATTGCCTCCTCCTCATCAACACTTAGCTGCTCGGATATGTGCTGGTCTCTAAACGCTCTGCCGCCGAACAGAGGCTTTAAGTAATGCTGGTCGAGCCATTTGAACCACTTGTGGAGGCCGGAGGGGGGGCCAAGAGAGAGGGAGTGCGATCGCTGCATGTATAGAAGGTCGTTGAGGCTGCGACCGCCTATAAGGGGGACGTCTAAAGAGGGGACAGTGCGAATGGAATAATGGTGCCCTAATTCCCCCTCTGCTTCGGCTGCGCCTGCTTCAGTGTGTGGGTGTGAGTGTGAGTGTGGGTGCGAGTGTGGGTGTGCGTGTGGGTGGGAATGTGGAGGGGAGTGTAAGGGAGTGTTACCATGAGAGGACCCAGCCAGAGAGCCACGTGCATGTTTGAGAGTGGGCGGATGGGCGGCAGAGAGGCCCAGCGCGCGCAGAAGAGGACAAGTAGAGCCGCCCATGACGACGGTGGTGAGCACAACGACAAAGAGGGTGGTGGAGATGATGGCAGGGTTGCGCTGCGGCATGTTGAGGGCGAGGGCAAAGGCAATGGCGCCCCTTAACCCGCTGAGCCACATTATTAACACCATTTTCGTAGGGATCTTGTTGGCCCTGCGTGAGAATCAGGAAAACACAGGGGGCACAGTGGTGGAGATGATGGCAGGGTTGCGCTGCGGCATGTTGAGGGCGAGGGCAAAGGCAATGGCGCCCCTTAACCCGCTGAGCCACATTATTAACACCATTTTCGTAGGGATCTTGTTGGCCCTGCGTGAGAATCAGGAAAACACAGGGGGCACAGTGGTGGAGATGATGGCAGGGTTGCGCTGCGGCATGTTGAGGGCGAGGGAAGCGAAGGCAATGACGCCCCTTAACCCGCTGAGCCACATCATTAAGATCATGTTGGCGGGGATTTTTGGCCCTGGGGTGGGTAGGGGAACGCAGGAAAACGGAGGGAAACACAGAGAGGCGTAGGGGCAGGGGAGAGAGTGGAGGAATGTTGAGCGCGAGGGCGAAGGCAATGGCGCCTCTCAGGCCACTGAGCCACATCATCAGAATCATGTTGGTGGGGATCCTGTTGGCCCTGGGGTGGGAACAAGGGGAACGCAGGGGGAAAACACAGGGGAGAGTAGGGGCAGGGGCGAGAGTGGAGGCATGTTGGGATCTTGTTGGTTCTGGGCGCATGGGAATGCACGAGGGGTGGGCACAGGAGCATGTGGGGGCAGGGGAGAGAGAAAATTTGAAGGCATGTTAAACAGAGATGAATAAGGCGTGAACAGGGGAAGGGATCGAGGGGAAAACGGAGACAGAATAGAATGAGGGAAAGAGGGGCGTACTGTGAAAATTTGGCTAGTTCTGGGTTGACTCGAAAGTCACAGAATGAGAGGGAGGGACTTACTGCGTGCAATTGGAGAGGAAGGAGAGAGGGAAGACGTTGAAAGCTCGGGATATGAGGCAGAGGGGAATGGCGGAGAGCAGCAGGCCCCAGTCGATGACATGCTGCATCACCACCACCTGCCAGGGCGAGAGATGGTGTGAGACACGGAAGAACGGGATGAGGATACACATGCAATGCAGCTTAGAGATCGACTGAGGGTATTGCAGAGAGGAATGGCGGGGAGCAGCAGATCCCAGTCGATCACATGCTGCATCACCACCACCTGGCGGGATAGATGGGATGAGGCATCGCAGAGAGGGATGGGGGTACAGATGGTATGAGTGTGATGGCGGGGAGCAGCATACCCCAATCAATCACATGATGCATCACCACCACCACCTGCCGGGATAGAGATGATGTGAAGCTTAGAGATGGTAGGGTGCATGTGAGAGAGGGGTCGTGACACCCAATGATGCATATGGTGCGATGCAGAAAATGCACAGCACACGGCATTGGTGCCAACAAACGCAAGAAGCGCAGAACTTAACTGCATAAGAAGGGACAAGAAACTTCAAGGTTCATGCATAGTTTGAGTTGGCTCAAAACACAAACCCCCAGTCCCCCCCCTCCAGCACTCACTTGCATGCCCAGCTCAGCGGCGTACCTGCATGCCAAGGTAGGCGAAGACGAACATCTCTGCCATGAAGGAGAGTGCTTCAAACGCGTACTTGCTGCTAATCTTGGATGCGTGTGAAATGTTGTAGTACCTGCGGGTGGTGACAACAAGGTAACAAGGTGACATGGTAACAAGGTGACATGGTAACAAGGTGACATGGTAACAGCACTATGATTCAGAATCTCCTGCATTGCAACAATGGTTTGGTACTTGCTGCTGATCTTGGACGCGTGCGAAATGTTGTAGTACCTGCGGTTGGCAAAGTGGTAACAGCGTTACACCTCAATAAAACAACCGTGCTAGGCAAGAGTGCTAGGCGTAGCACAAATGTTATGTTCTCCAACACACATTGTGGGCGCGGTGTCAATATTTGTCGCGCACTAAGTTCATCACCGTATTATGAAGCAATACTTGTACTATACCCGTAATCCGTCCTGCATACGAAATGAGACGCCGTGCCCGTAGTGTGCATTGCATAGGATGTGAGCGGGCATACCCGTAGTGTGCATTGCATATGCCACAGAAGAAGAGCGCCATGATGCCGGAGAGAGAGAGCATCTCAGCGACCGAGTAGGAGAGGTAGCCCGAGACGAGAACGAGGGAGAGCTCGAACTTGGAGAACTCGCTGTTGATGTCGATGAAGCGCAGGGCGAGGGCACAGAGGAGGGACACGAGGATTCCTAAAAGGATGGAGCCCACACTGATGCCCAGAAACTGGACTGCTCCGTGGGGCCGAGTGGGAGGGGAGGAGGGGGTGGGTGAGGTGAGAGGGAAGTGGGGTGGAAAGAGGGCCTGGAGATGCACGAGAGAGCGCAGAGGAGGGAGACGAGCATACAATGGGAAACTACACGCATTGCAATGGAAAATCACATGAAATACCGATAGCGGTGGCAATGCTAGCGAAGGAAAACTGGTAAGGTGAAGGAGGCGAGTTATGTTCTTGCATGGATGGATCGATATATGCATGCGAGAACGTACCAATGGCAGTGGTGATGCTGGGCATGGAGAACTCCTGGTTGGTGAAGGAGGCAAGTTTACATATTTGCATGCATGAATTGATGTATGCTACAACGCACCTATCGCAGTGGCGATGCTGGCCATGGAGAACTCCTGGTTGGTGAAGGATGCAAAGGTGCGGAAGAGCACGATGGAGACGGCATCGTTCACGAGGCTCTCTCCAAACACCAGATTGTAGAGCAGCGTTGGCGCCTGTACGTCTGCCACGTGGCAGCGAGGTATGCCACGTGAAGATAAAAATAAATAAATGAGCAATAACGGACGCACGAGTATGGGTGACAGGAGGTTGTGGCAAGGGTGGGTGGGTGACCGTGACCTTCGATGATATGGCTAAGGGCAATGTTCCACGCCCTAATGTCTCATGGGTTACGTCTCATGACTGAAGTTTCATAATTGATGTCTCATGATCAATGTCTCATGACAAAGTTCCATGACTAATGTCTCATGGCTAATGTGTCATGACTAATGTCTCATGGCTAATGTGTCATGACTAATGTCTCATGGCTAATGTGTCATGACTAATGTCTCATGGCCAATGTGTCATGACTAATGTCTCATGGCTAATGTGTCATGACTAATGTCTCATGGCTAATGTGTCATGACTAATGTCTCATGGCGGGGTGACTCATGACTAATATGTCATGTCTAATGTCTTATGGCTAATGTCTCATGACCAATGTCTCATGACAAGTGTCTCATAATGACTAACGTCTCATGACTAATGCCTCGAGGTTAATGTGTCATGACAAATGCTTCATGATCGAAGTCTCATGACATGACTACTGTCTCTATGACTGATTTCTCATGACCCATGTCTCAAGTCAACTGCACGTGATACCTTGCAGAATTGAGAGGGTAGCAACAGGGTCAATGGCGGAAATGAGCGATCCGAAAATGAGCGACTCGAGGAGAGGCGAATCTGACGTTATGTGGGTCACAATGCCAGCTCGGACGAGGGAGTACGTGGCAAGACCATACACCAGCGTGGATATAATTGTTCCCACAACAGCAAAGAGGGTGATGGTCCAGAAATTGCGGAAAAAATCCTGCCAGCAAGCATAGAAATGTCAGCAAAAGTGGAACTTGGATTTTGTCAGTCAGAACACCAACTGCTAAATTCAGACCAGAGTTATCTACTAAAGGTTGAGTCTGCTGAAGGTGAGAGATCAATTAAAAGCTGACGCGCAACCATTGCTGAGAGCGATCCTGAATGAAGCATTTTCCATCGTTAAAGCCAGGTAAACGCGCATCATTGCCGTACTTTCTTCTTCAAGGCGTAACCGGCGTTGAAGATGATGATTGGGAGGAGGCCGTAGAAGAAGATCTCCGGGCTGAAGGTGAACGCCAGATCGTCCTCCAAGACCAGCGACAGCACGCCGAACACCATTCCCAGCACCAGCGCCGCCGCTGCCATTCGAAACAAGCACAGACAGAGGTTGGTTATATCGTCAGAAAACAACTGAATCTGCCGAATTTGAAGGGTTTTGGATAAGATATTGGTGAATTGAATCCGTGAAGTAAAGGAATCTACGGGATGAGCGGGATTCAGGCAAGTGCCATGCCTCGTTTGATTCCCGATAGTAGTCTCACACGACTCAGGAAAGTAAACCCAATGGAGCTTCTTGGAGATGTAGGCAACGAGCATGGTGGTGGCCATGAGGAAGGAACACGCGAGGATGTCTGTCGACGCGCTCCCTGACAGCACCAGCGACACGCTAGCTGCTGCGTGTCCCACGTTTCCCGCGTTTTCCGCGTTTCCAGCCATGACCGCGATTCCCGGCGCAGGATCCATGGTCGAATTTATCATCTTCGCAGGTCACGCTAACTCGTATGTATATAAAATCCCCGCATGGCGTGTTCCTATCAAGCGACGCGAGCGTGCGTCCGTGCGTGTTCCTATCCGTTCAAGCTCGGCATTCCGCCCTTAAAGTTCAGGCCGGTGCTGGTGCTGGTGTGGCAGGATAAGAATATTCGAAGAGACTGGGGGGGACCCTCGGGAGTATCATTCGTTGTCCTCGTTAAAGATCAAAGGACTCCCAGCATTCAGTGAAGCCCATGTTTTATTACTTATATTCTGCATATTTTGACGCACAGAGAGCCATCAGGCTGCATACAGTAGGTGCAGCAAGTTATCAAAGTGGACGGCTCCATGTTGCAATGTTTGCGCATCCCAAGAAGTAGCGGTAATTAGTGCTGACATTAGCTAACAAGTACCGTATAGCTCCCCATGATAATTTTGACAATCGAGTTTCAAATAAAACTAGTGCCTGGAAACTCCTCATGCGGTAATACCGTAACAATCACCTTTCTGCGCCATTTCACACAGACTGCTCTTCTCAATTATACGGTACCGTAGTTTGCATCATCACCTGGTCAACACAAAACTATCATTCCTCGTCTTCCAGAATGGGCCGGCTCCTGCCACGACCACCAAGGCCCCCACTTGGTCTTCTTAACCCACCACCACCACCACCAACACCAGCACTAGCATCAACCCCAACACCAGCAGCAGTGCCCATTCGACCCATCCTGAAGCCACTCCTCCCACCTCTGCCAGCCCCACCAGCGGCACCGCCCCCACCAACCCCCATACCCCCCCCTGCTTCCATACCCTCTCTTGCTTCCATTCCTTCCATACCTGGTCGCCCCCTCACTCTCCCCGCCCTGCTCCTGCCCACCCCACGTCCCACCCTGCCGCCCCCCATTTCATCTGCATCCCCACTCTCCCCAAACGAGCCAGTCCGTTGCAACGGACCATCATCCATGCCTGCGCCGCCCATGCCCGAACCTCCCATGCCCGCACCTCCCATGCCCGAACCTCTCATACCCACACTCCCCATGCCCGAACCTCCCATTCCCGCACTTCCCATGCCTGAACCACCCAATCCTGTACCTTTACCCCTTATGCCGCCCATCCTTCCTGCCCCCGCTGTTGCCCCTCCACCCACCTGCCCATCCCCATCATAATCATCTGCATCACCCCCACCCGGCACTGCTGCTGCTGCTCCTGATCCTACCCCTGCTCTTGCTCCCCCTGCTACTGATGGCGTGTCAGCACTAGCATCATTTTCTGTGCTGCTATCACCACCACTCTTCTTCTTGGAAAACCAAGACCACAGTCCTGACCCGCTGCTCCCACTGCCACCGCTCCCTCCCAAACTGCTGCTGCTGCTACCATCCTCTATATCGCTGTCCGCACCCCCATCCATGCCACTAGAGCCGCTGGTGGTACTGCCACGTGCTGCCACATTACCACCTGCTGTTGCACCTGCTGCCGCCCCTGTTCCCTGCCAGCTTTCCATGTCCTCCTCCCCTTCCTCAAACCCAGCCGCCCTGCTGCTCCTTCCCATTCCCCCTCCTACAACCCCCCCCAACCCCCCTCCTAAACCCCGTTCCGTACCCACTCCTGCATTCCCTCCTGTGCTCCCTCCCACGCCCACACCACCCTCCTCCTCCTCGTCCCAATCACCTGCTGAGCCAGCCCCAGCACCTCCACTAGTACCCCCATCCGCAGCCCCTTCCGCTGGGGAACCTGTCTTCTTCCCCCCACCAAACATGCTCGAGAAAAACCCGAGTATCCCCCCAGACGAGCCCCCTGCCTTGCTGCCGCCGCTGCTGCTGCTAGTGGTATCAGAGCCGGCAGCAGCATCGTCCTCTTCCATCTCATCCCCGTCCCCGCCCACTCCTCCCACTCCTCCTGCTCCTCCTGCTGCTCCTGCTGCTCCCCTCGCACCTGGCCCTCCGAAACCCCCCATCCCCCTGCCGCCCATACCAGCAGCACCACCCTCATCATCTTCGTCATCGTTTCCCCCCAGAGATCCCAAGCTGCTGCTGCGGGGGAAGGAGGATGAGGAGGAGGAGGAGGAGGAGGAGGAGAAGGGGACACCCGCACGTTTTCTGCTAAAGCCCATGCTGCTGCTACTCAGACCACCCTCATCAGCAGCATCGGCACTAGAGAGGGGCGGGGGGGGGAGGGGAGAAGGTGGGGAGGGAGGGGAAAGTGAATGGAACAGTTGGGGGAGAAGAGGGAGCAGGGAGGGAGAGGGGAGTTTCGAGGCAGGGAGTAGAGAGCAGGGAAGACTTTTGAGGCGCCTCAAAAGAGTTTCGAGGCAGGGAGTAGAGAGCAGGGAAGAGGGAGAGATGGGGGCAAGGGAGGGACGTGGGCAAGTGAGGAATAGGACTTGGCCTAACAACCTCACAGTCAAAGCACCAAACCACACGACCACGGATAGCATACCTCAAGTCACGGCCGAAGGCACTTTTGAACGCTCCTCCTCCATTCCATGCCCCCCTTCCCCTGCTGGCCTGGCTCGACTGCCCCGCCAACCGGGTTTTCCCCCCGCCCCCCCATGCTGCCTCTCCATCCCCCTCCTCCTCCTCCTCCCCCTGCCCCACCCCTCCCGCCCATCTGCCTCCGCTCCTCCCCTTCCCCTTCCTCCTGCTGCTGCTGCCGCTTTTCTTGCTCCTCGCCCCTCGTCTCACATCCTCGTCCTCGTCATAATCATCCTCGGTATTGTCCAGACTGTCTCGCCGCTTTCCTCTCGTCGTGCTCCCACGCTTCCCCTTCTTCCCCCTCCTCTTCGTCCGCTTCTTCTTCTTCCCACGCTTCTTCTTCCCTTTCCTCCCGCTCCTACCCCTCCCAACCGCACTCAACCCGTCACTCTCCTCATCCTCGTAATCCCCACCTCGCATCCCCCCTCGTTTCAGGCCGCCCCTTCCCCCGCTAAGAGCACCAATCGCATCAATCACTTGCCGGCTGTCCCTCGGATACAGCGGATCCTCTCCATCGTCATCATCAGAACCTTCCGCGAACCTTCGCGGTAAGTTCGAGCCACCGAGCCCTGCACCACCACCGTCCACGTCATCGTTTCTTCCCCACCCGGACCGCGCTCCCCCTCCTCTTCCGATGCCCTTTCCGGATTTCCAGGAACTAGCTCCTCCAAAGCCGGAGCCTCCGAGACCGGAGCCTCCGGAACCTTCTATTTCAGAATTCAAGTCCTGGTCACCGCTCCAGCGGCTCGGTTTCCCGCCAAAAGTGGCCTTTACATATGCGGATTTTGACGCGCCGTCAATGCCGCCGCTACCACCGTCAAAGCTACCGTCGCCGTCAGAGAAAGCAGGTGGGCTGCCGGCAACAGCGCCTTTGTAATCGTCATTTCCGTACGTCGCACCGTCATCGTCGCTGGTGCTGACACGTGTCACTTCGCGCGAACGGAAGGCCGAGAAGCCGAGGAAGAGCGAGCAATGAGAATCAAGAGCGCGATTGCGAGAAGGACGGCGCAAGACGAGACGGAAAGCCGCGAAAAGGGGAACGGCAGCGGCAGGTTTCGACGGAAAAAGGACGGCTGGTCGGAGCGACCGTCGGGAATGGCCCATTTAAAACCCTCGACGCGCGAACTGCTGCGACGCTCGCGAGTATTCGCTGCTGCCGGCGATTTCATCGCATTCTAGAGTCGTTACCCGCAGAGGAATTGGGGGGGTTGCATTGGCTGATGGTTGGCAAATACTAATACAAGTATGCTTACTTTTCCAACCGAAAAAAAGAAAAGAAAATAAAAAACAAAAAAAGAAAGAAAAACAAAAATAAAAAATAATCAGGCGCCTTCGATCAAGCGTCGCATAAAATGCGAGCTAAGGTACGGAGGAGGGCGATGCGGGTCAATCTAGCGGCTTGTTCAAGAAGACGGAATGTCAACGTGGAATGTCAATGCAGAACGTCAATGGCAGCAGCACGGCAACTAACACTGATTAGGCGATGGAACAACACCGCATCGCATCGTGGACCTCCGTCTTAGAATGCGGAATCGCGCTTTCTGTTCATGGAACTTAGGAGAGTGCTAGATAATCTGTTTCAGATTTCCCCATAAAATTGGCTCCAGGTAGGTGAAGTTCTAGAAGGTGAATGTGGTTGCTGGATAGGTCGGCTAAAGAGAGAGGTGGAGTGGGTTTAACTACGGTTCAAGAACCTGACTCCAAGCTGGTACTTCTCCTACAGTACTTTCTTATACCTGAGATGTAGAGTGGCAATTTTAAGGCTTCCAGCCTAGGCTCTTACAACGGGGTTTTTTTCGTAAGATAAATAAAATTATATTGCATATGCACATGTTAACTAGTGGCTGGACGAGGGCGAGGCTGTACCCATTCGCCATCTACAAATTAATTTCTATGCGCCTAGCTCCTAAGCACCTCTCTATACCTACTTTTGCTAGCGAGCTACTCTACAATGGATAATCCACGAGGCAATACATGGGGAGACCAAGGGACAGAAGGCTCCTCATGTGCCTGTATTGGGAATTACTGTATTGAGACAGCAATATGTCATGTTGAGGAGTGGGATTGTTTCCTTGTTGCATCCCCCTCCTACCTTGGCTGCTTAGGTGCTCCTTCGCAGCTGTAAACTGAGTCTGGAGCAAAAGTGTGTTAGCTGTTCCCGTTTCCCCAGTGGTCCTCTCCATCCTCCTTCCAAATCCTCTCCCTCATCCCTTTTCCTCCTCCCTTCCTCCTCCACCCTCCACCCGTTACTCCACCTATCTACTTGGGAATCTTGGATTGGTCCATGAGGTGCAGTGTCGTCATCGTGACCACCTCGTCAAACCCCTTCGGCTTCACAATATTAAACCTCCTCAAGTACCAAGCCGCATTAATCTTCTTTTGCGGCCCCGTTGCCCGTCTCGGGCAGCTCAAAATGTTCGGCCGCTTGAGCCGAATATTTGACCAGAGCCTCAAACCCAGATCGTTCCGCTTGTAATTCCGGAACCCGGCAGAAGGAACCGAATCCACCACCACATGGGAGTGCTGGTTCAGTTTATGCATGGCCGGTAGGGTCTCGCAGTACTTATACTCAAGGTTCTCTCGAGTCGTGTTCACGAGGATCAAATCCAGCTGATTCTCCGTGGCCAATCCGCTGCATTTGCCGGTTTGGGCGGCGGTCAGGCCGCCCTTGGGGTTACAGTGCTGCCCGTTGACTGAGCTCTCCTGACACACGTTCTTCCACCACGGCCAGTACTGGTGGGGGAGTGGGGGGTGGGAGGGAGATGGGGAAGGGAGGAGCGAGGGGAGAGATGAGGGTGAAGTGGGGAAAGGGTGCAGGGTTGCAGTGGGGCCTGTTGACTGCGCTCCCCTGACACACGTTCTTCCACCACGGCCAGTACTGGTGGGGGCGAGAGGTGGGGGAAGTTAGAGAGAGGAAAGGAAGAGGGGAGGAAGGGGGGCGGGAGAGAGTGGGGAAAGAGGGTGGGGTTGCAAGACTCCCCATTGATAGCCCGTGTTAATGGTGGGGCGTGGGGGGCAGGGCAGGTACTGAGACCGAGACTAGCAACAGTTGTACAGAGACCAGGGTCTGAATTCCGCACACGACTCACCTTCCTGAAAGCCGGGGTGTCATACTAAGCTTTCCGCATGTTCTCCCAGTGAAGCAGTTGTTGACGGTGGGCGTGAGACAGTCCCATACACCACACACAACAATCACCCTTTTTCCCTTCACCTCACCCCACTCCTTGTTGTTCCCCCTCACCTTTCTGAATGCCGGGGTGTCATAATAAGCCTTGCGCATGTTCTCCCAGTAAAGCCCGGGGTCCTTGAGGCAGTTGTTGACGGTGGGGGTGAGGCACGTGCACCACCCCACTGCACCGATCTGTCCCTTCATCACCACGTCCTTGATGACGTTCCTGTAGCGAGGGGGAGGGGAAGATGGGGGGGGGGGGAAGGAGGAGGGGTGGGGCGGAAGGAGGTTGGATGACCGAGAGAAAAGCAACGCTAGAAAAGAAAAATTTGAGTGCTTACGTCACCCTAAAAAAATCTCATAAGTGCTCAAGACTAGCCAACTGCTCGTGCTCACCTCTTGCCGTTGTTGACTTTAATCCCGTCGTACGTGTTGATACACGCGCCGCCGCGGATGCGCACGTCCGACGTGTCATAGTCCAAATAGTAGCAGTGGTCGCCGTTAAAGACGTAGTTACACTGCGCCACATTCCCCGGGTTGAACCAGTGCGTGCAGTAGTAGATCCCCGCCGCGTCGTGATCCCCGTTAGTGTTGCGCCCTTTAGCGACTACAAGGTTGTTGGAGACGTTGGTCATCATACAGTCGCCCGAGAAATGCACGTCCGCGCCGCACCGGATTCCCGCGAAGATGAAATCGTGCACGTAGTTGCGGAACACTTTCACTCCCACCGCGCCTCGATATAAGACGATCGGGGTGTCCACACCTGGTAGGGAAGGGGGAATGGGGGGGAAGGAGGAACGAATGAAGATGAAATCGTGCACGTAGTTGCGGAACACTTTCACTCCCACCGCGCCTCGATACAAGACGATCGGGGTGTCCGCACCTGGACGGATGTAACGTGGGAAGAGAGCCGAGCGGAAGGTTTGTCGGTAACGAATGACGAAGAAGAGGAGAGCAACAGGAGGAGACTCGAAGAGGATAACGAACTACCAGGGAACTCGAGGGAAACGAACTACCAGGGAACTCGAGGGGGGTCATGAGAACCAGGGCATTGCGCTAAGCCGCTGTTATAAGAGCAGGGATGTGCACTTACCATACGCCTCGTTATTGGATATAGCGATGTTCGCCTTGATCAGCTTCGTGCTGTGGCCACTGTACGCCACGCGAATGACCCCGTGCGAACTGGCGAAAGTCGGGGTGCCGGTAACCTTGATACTGTCGATTCGCGAGTTCATGCTTCTGTGTACGTCCACGCGTCCGAACACTGTAGACTTGCCGAAGATGACACCGTACGACCGGGAGATGTGTACGGCGGGACAGTTGACCCCCGTACCGACCTCGGGTACGTTCGGGCATTGGGGCGACCCGGTCGTGACTGCAACGAGGAAATTGATACCGTATACAAGCACATTGCTGGTGTTCCAAATGCGAAGCGTCGGCATATCGTCGTCGTTATATTTGATGTACAGGTTCGGTTTTGCGGCGGTTACAATGGTGCAGGAGAAATCCGCGTCAAAGAGCAACCCGCTTCCCTGACTGAGCAGCAGGCTGTTCTGCAGCATAAGCACGACGGTTTGGGTGCGGCCCTGCTGTTTCCGCTTCAGGAAATCGGCGGCAGTCTTTATCGGGATAGTGACGTTGCTTGTAACGGGGCTGCAGGATCCCTTGGGGTGCGATCCCTCTGCACAGGCGGAAACAAGGTCAGGAGAGCCGCGGGGGGAGGGGGAGAGGGAAAACGAGGGGAGACGAAGGACATAGAGGGGAGGGGGAAGGAGAAAGCGGGGGAGCGGCGAGGTGGGGGGTGGGGAGGGGGGGACGGGGAGGCCGGAGTGGAAGGGGGACCGGCAAGAACAGGAGAGGAGAAGGCGGGGAGAGAGGGCGAGGGGAAGAGGGTTCATAAATATGAGGTTAGAGAGCTGTGATTCTGGCCTTACGTTTGAACCATTCCTCGTCACCCTCCAGATCAGTACTTTTCTCTTCCACGTCATCCCATACATCTTTAAACTCCGCCATGTTTCGAGTTGCTTGAGATAACTTGCGCGATCCTCCATAGGCAGAATCTAGAAGTGTTCACGGCAAGTAAGTTTCCGCACGGCAGAAAGACGATAGGAAACGCGGCACTCGCGGCACAACGGTGGCAAAGCAATCGATTCGCGGCGCATGCGTGTGACGAAGCGAGGTGACACACCGATAGAGGCGCGCTTGCGGGTACCGAGGCAAAGCGAGGGATGGCCAAAGGGGAGGCACGCACTTGCTTGCGCGGAGGCCGCGGAGAGCGCAAGACAGAGCGCGAGTAGCGCTACGGCAAGTGTGGGTCGTATCCGCGACGGCGCCATTTGAAGATAATATATAATATCCCCGCTGAGCACGCTTATCGGGTTACCCTTTTCCGCGACCCTTTTTCAGCGACCCTTGATTCTATGAACGATGAATAGGAATCGCTGGCAAGATTGCTGAGTGATCGAGCAAGTGCAAACGGGCGAACGAGATCGTTCTGATGCTCGAGTTTGGCTGATAAGAAGGTGGCTTAACGTCTAGCCGCGCCCAAGCTCCACAGCCTTGAAGGCTTCAGAATATTGCACTCAATTCAAACAAGGGAAGGAGGGTGAGCTTTATACTAGAAACGATTGCCGCTTTTCGTCCTCGTTACGATACTGGCATTTATCGTTTCTAGATTCCGATGCCGGCGTGTTGCTACGGTGCTCACAGCAGCTTGTGAGTGGTTGTTCGTGGTGTGCCGAATTCGAGGGGTGAGTGTGGTGGTGGTGGTCAACAGCTAATTCGCAAGGGCGCAAATCAATTTGGGACAAAAAGGGCTTGAAGGGGGAAGAGGGAGGGGAAAGGGAGGGAGACAGGAGAAGCGAATTTTCGAGCAGCGAAATGTCGATTTTGTTGGACACATTGGCGAGTCGCGATGACGCACCGACGAAGCGCGCGAGCGGGAGCATTGAGGCTCGTCGCTCAGTTCTGTTTGCGACAGCAGTTCAGGGGTGGGTGCCGAAATCAGTGTAGTCGGTACCTATTTTGCCCGTTTGTATGGACGGTGCGACCTTGGGGAGGGGTATTGCGACGGAATGCGACTGCAATGTCAGCACGAACGGTTGTGGGAGTGGGAGTGGGATGGACGAAGTCATGCCGTCGTGCGGTATACATTGCCGACGAGGGTAGAGACCTTTCGCAAACGTCAACTTCCCACGTGTGACTGCATTACATGCCGGCGACCCGTTTCAATGTATTATCCTATTTAGATACACAAAGAGCCAAGGTCCGTATGTGAGTTTCCCTCCTGAAGATCCTGATTAGAACATCTACACCCTGTACTTAGCCGCCCAGCTTCTTCCGACCCCTTGATTTTCGCAAGGTGCTCTTTCCGCTCTCGATTGCTCATTTTCGACAGGTCAGGATTCTCTAAACTTTTCTGATTAGTAATAGCCTTCATGGTGCCACAGCATGCCTTGAACTTCTTTTTTGAGCCACAAGGACTTGGCTTATTGCGACCCTGAGCCTGATGGGCCTGCATCATTCATATCAGACAGGATAACCACACACAAGAGCACACCAATTAGGTATAATCAGTGCGTGCTGTCTACACTATACATTGCAAAAAATACAAACCCGGCTTACCGGTTTTGACGACGACTTTACAGCGGCAGGTGGAGCTGAACCAGGACGAGCACCTGTCACACCTGCATCGGCAGCAGGAGTATCAGCAGGCACGGCAGCAGCACACGCCTGCATGTTGCCACAGCTGCTTTCATCTGAAGCTTCATTTGCTCCCACAGCTGCCGCTGCAAGTGCTGCAGAGGGCGTTTGCTGATACTCACTGCACTCAGGACTGGGAACACCTCTACCTAGCAGTGCTGCCTCTGGTGCTGTGAGTGGCTTTGCTGTAACAAGTGTGGCTGTATGAAGCAGTGCTGCTGCTTCAGATGGCGCTGCTGCTGTAGCGGATGGCGCTGCTGCTGTTGCTGCTGATGGAGCATCAAGGCTATCAGCTATTGGTGGAGTTGCTGTTGCTCCTGCTTGGTTTGGGACTGGAGAGACTGAGGATGAGGAGAGAGGTGCTGCATGCTCTGCATTGCCACGTGGCGTCGTCTCATTGGCCAGGACAGCAATGAGGTACTCTATGGCTGCATCCACGTCACCTGCCAGGTCATCCAGGGTCTGCCACGTGGGATGAAGGGAGAGAGGAGATGGTAATCAGGCGAAAAATTTCCTGGAGGGCACAGCAGCTACAGCCTAAATTACTCTTCAAGGGACACAAAAGAGAGCTGGATACGACCAGCTTCACTGCCCCTTCATCCACACCTGATGCTGCTGCGCCTGAGACTGATGCTGCAGCTGCAGAAACACCTGCTTGTGACGAATCCAAAAGTGGGGGAAGAGGATCGATGACTTTTGAGTCGACTCAAAAGACAAAAGTGGGAGAAGAGGATAGATCATCTTACCTGAACAACTCGTTGGCGGTCGTGGCAGCCTGTGGAGGATATAACCAGCTTCACCACCCCCTCATCCACACTTGATGCTGCGGAGGCTGATACAGACACTGCAGGTGCACCCCCACCTTCACCCCCTTTCCTCCCCATTGCCCCCTTCACCTGAATGATTCTCTGGCGGTCGTGGCAGCCTGTGGAGGATATGACCAGCTTCACCACCCCCTCATCCACACTTGATGCTGCAGGTGCAGGCGCCCCTGCTTGCGATGCCTGGCTCTTGCCATTGCCACTCTGCACAGAGGAAGTGTGGCAGGGAAGTAAAGAGTGAGTAGGGCGCCCTAGGTGCATTGAGGAGGAGATTTTGAGGCGCTTCGAAAGCTCTTTTCGTGGAACCTGGCTCTTGCCACTTCCATTCTAAGCAAAAGACGTGTGGCATTTGAGAATTCTCAAAAACCATTCTAAGCAAAAGACGTGTGGCAGAGACGTGTGGCAGAGACGTGTGGCGGAGACGTGTGGCGGAGACGTTACGTAGGGGCGTGTGGGCGCATTGCTGGAGAGCAGCAAGCACTCGTCAACCTGAAAGGTGATTGGCTGAGCTGGCGTGTACCCAACGTCCCCTTCCATCCGCACGCTGTTGTAGTGATCGCCATCGTGGTATGAGCTGTGGAGGGGGGGAGGGAGAAGAGAGGGGAGAAGACTGGAAGTGTGGCTACTTCGCGTGTGTTTCAGCAACCCAACGTCCCCTTCCATCCGCACGCTGTTGTAGTGATCCCCGTCGTGGTATGAGCTGTGGAGGGGGGGAGGGAGAAGAGAGGGGAGAAGACTGGAAGTGTGGCTACGTCGCGTGTGTTTCAGCAACCCAACGTCCCCTTCCATCCGCATGCTGTTGTAGTGATCCCAGTCGTGGTATGAGCTGTGAGGACAGGGGCCAGATGTGAGGAGAAGGGGAGAGAGGCAGTGTGGTTACTACGGTTGCGCTTCAGAGATCCAACATCCCCTTCCATGGGCGCGCTGTTGTAGTGATCTCCATCGTGGTATGAGCTGCGAAACGAGAAACTGGAGATGAGAATAGAAGGGGAGAGATAGGAAAGGTGGATAGGGAGAGATAGGAAAGGTGGATAGGGAGAGATAGGAAAGGTGGATTTTGAGAATTCTCAATTCACACGCTATCAGCATCAGCATCAGCATCAGCATCAGCATCAGCATCAGCGCATCAGCATCAGCATCAGCATCAGCATCAGCATCAGCGCATCAGCATCAGCATCAGCATCAGCATCAGCATCAGCGCATCAGCATCAGCATCAGCATCAGCATCAGCATCAGCGCATCAGCATCAGCATCAGCATCAGCGCATCAGCATCAGCATCAGCATCAGCGCATCAGCATCAGCATCAGCATCAGCGCATCAGCATCAGCATCAGCATCAGCATCAGCATCAGCGCATCAGCATCAGCATCAGCATCAGCATCAGCACATCAGCATCAGCATCAGCATCAGCGCATCAGCATCAGCATCAGCATCAGCGCATCAGCATCAGCATCAGCATCAGCATCAGCATCAGCACATCAGCATCAGCATCAGCATCAGCGCATCAGCATCAGCATCAGCATCAGCATCAGCATCAGCGTCAGCATCAGCATCAGCATCAGCATCAGCATCAGCATCAGCATCAGCGCATCAGCATCAGCATCAGCATCAGCGCATCAGCATCAGCATCAGCATCAGCGCATCAGCATCAGCATCAGCATCAGCATCAGCATCAGCGCATCAGCATCAGCATCAGCGCATCAGCATCAGCATCAGCATCAGCATCAGCGCATCAGCATCAGCATCAGCATCAGCATCAGCTTCAGCATCAGCATCAGCATCAGCATCAGCATCAGCATCAGCGCATCAGCATCAGCATCAGCATCAGCATCAGCGCATCAGCATCAGCATCAGCATCAGCATCAGCGCATCAGCATCAGCATCAGCATCAGCATCAGCGCATCAGCATCAGCATTAGCATCAGCATCAGCATCAGCGCATCAGCATCAGCATCAGCATCAGCGCATCAGCATCAGCATCAGCATCAGCGCATCAGCATCAGCATCAGCATCAGCATCAGCGCATCAGCATCAGCATCAGCATCAGCATCAGCATCAGCGCATCAGCATCAGCATCAGCATCAGCATCAGCGCATCAGCATCAGCATCAGCATCAGCATCAGCATCAGCGCATCAGCATCAGCATCAGCATCAGCATCAGCATCAGCGCATCAGCATCAGCATCAGCATCAGCGCATCAGCATCAGCATCAGCATCAGCGCATCAGCATCAGCATCAGCATCAGCATCAGCGCATCAGCATCAGCATCAGCATCAGCATCAGCGCATCAGCATCAGCATCAGCATCAGCGCATCAGCATCAGCATCAGCATCAGCATCAGCGCATCAGCATCAGCATCAGCATCGGCGCATTAACATCAGCATCAGCATCAGCATCAGCATCAGCGCATCAGCATCAGCATCAGCATCAGCATCAACATCAGCATCAGCGCATCAGCATCAGCATCAGCATCAGCGCATCAGCATCAGCA